GGGCGTGACAATCACAAAATATCACGTCAAACGTCGACAGCTCTCGCCTCCGACCGAATACGAGCACTTTGTCGTCTCGTTCGGTTAGGTCTTTTCGCACCGACACTCAGACCGGGCAGTGTCGGGGTGGGCGATTGCATGAATCGGGACGATCGGTCCTTCGGAGACCGTCCTAGATTCCCCGTTCATCAGCCAACTGGTTCAGTGACAAGATCCTCTCCCCTCGCAAGACTTCTGCAGCTTGGTGACAGGCGGAACCAATTGGTCTGACTAGCCATTTGTGTCAGGCTGTCACTCGGCTTCCACTCCGAGCTGATGGGAGTTTTTCTCCATCGAAGACTCAATTTTCATCTTGAGAGAAATCCTTGGAAATTCTTTTAGCGACCGATGGAGCCATACTATGGGGTAGTAATCCCGTTAGGAGACGCTTTTAAGTGCTGTAGCGAACGTGTCATTTAATTCTGCCATTGCTATCGGGTCTTCCTCGTGAAATCCACGCCTGAAATCAGAGCGGAGGGACCCCGGCTGAGGCGCTTTTCTTCATACCCGGATCTTGAAATGGAGAATCCACAGCCACGGAGAGAAATGTCCCGTTCTGTTCCTGGATTCGGGGCTGGAGCGGGAAGAGGTTTTCGGCGCTGATCCGACATACGTTGTTGTGTCGATATGAACTCACATCCGCCGCTTCGATCGCCGCTCGTCGTCAAACACAGCCGACCACTCGGGTCAAGGATCGAGGAGCTTTCATCGCAATCTTGTTTCCTATTCTCTGTCGCTTTCACTCGGCTCTTACATACACAAATGTATTCGTCTCGGTGCCACGCGCAAACACAACGCCATTCGACAGCAAGGCTGATGTTCCTGTCGGGAGACGAAAAAGAAGACGGCGAAGATCGCAAGATCGTCTCCTGACGTCCCCCGGAACGGAGATCATCGAACGACTGATAGTGATATATGGAAATCCGAGACTTCTCGCGTTCTGTTGCTCCAGGTGAAGGGGATGTCCCGTAAGGGAAGTCCTTGCGTCGGAGCGGGGATCCCATTTCCCACGGAGATCGCTCGCTAGCTCATTCGCAAAAATTTCCATACGACGCCGGTGACTTGCAACACGCAGGTTACCGAACAGGCAGAGCGGACTGCCACGTACATTCATCAAGATCCAAACAAGTGCATTCTATCGGTCACGTACCCCCATATCCGTGGATCACGTATTGCTCCCAGCGAGTCTGCGGTCTTGCGAGGCGTCCACGAGCAGACCTTCCTGACCCTTCGCCCGATCGGTCGGTCGGTCAGTCAGGCGTCATCGGAGACCGCAACCACCTCGCCGGCAGGACTTCACACCGCGAGAGGTCGTTGGCTCTTGGCGCTTCGAGCTACAAGCTCTTTGTGCATAGTCTGCACGCGGAGCCTTCCCGGCTCCTCTTCGAAGTTTCTGGCGAAGTTCGAGGATATTGAAGTTTTCAAAGCTTCCGAGGTCTTTCCAGGGACCGATGACTCAGCGACTCGCAGGATAAGAGCGACGGGATGCGGGCTAGGCGCGGGAGTCTCGGAGGGGTTAGAGCCACCTGACCGACGGCGGCGCGACTAAATCAAATTATCAAGCGCGAAGCTTTGCCCATCGGTCGCTTCGTCGGACCTCGACGCTGTCAGAGCGATCAAAGAGCGGAAGTTTTCCTCTCCTGGAAGGGTCAGCTTTGTCGGAGCTCTGTTCCCGGATGATATTTTAATACATCCGAAAAATATTTCCTATCAACAGGCAATCATCGCTCGCTTTTGATCTCGGCTCCACTTGGAAATGACGATTGGAATTCTCGGAGACGCAGCTCCTTCGTGGCTCCTAGTCGCATCCCACATTCTCACGAACTAATACGGACTTCCGTAAGAGGGCTCCTCTCCTTCTGAACGCGAGCCCAAGAGCATTCGATTGCACCTGCCCTGAAAGATTCTAGAAACGAGGAAAAACTCCATTCGTCAACGCCTCCTTCGAGAAGAGAATCGAAACTTCAGAGGTTTGGGTTCGTGTTCTCTCAGCTCTGAGAACCAGGAACCCAGGATTCTGCGACACTGGACAGAGACCGTCCGGAGAGCAACTCATGGGGAAAATGAGCTTCACCTTTTTGAACTGTTCCGTGACCCACTCGTGTTCCTGGGAATTACAGGTCTGAAGTTGCAGGATGGAGGGAGGAACATAAGCTCATAGATACGGAACAAAACGCGCGCACCCTTGCCATTCGCGTACAGATGAGTGCTCTCCCCAGCTGATTATGGCGGAGGACGTTTAAGCAGGAAATCGTAAACGAACTCGACGTTTCCAGGCGTATTAACGGCCGGTCTGGGAACGGCATCAGGTGGGAGAAACCCAGTGGATTTCAATCACGCATCCACATCATCCGGGACTCCTGGGCGACGGCAAGGTTCACTCGCAGACGAGGAATATTCCTTGATGATGAGCAAGGAGAGCTTCGATCGATATCTGTACGGAGCTGATCCTGACAAATCAGACGAGGTCTGAGCCCCGTAAAGATATGGTTCTCGCCTGGCTCCCTATGCGATACCCTCGCCATGTCGAGCGAGTAAGTCGTTCCCCCCTCGCCCGGCGGAGGCATATGATATTGTCACGGCTCTTTCATCTCGGACTCGACGGTCGCTTACGAATTTTGGACTTTCCCCGGAGGAGCATAGTTCTGTGTCCAGGAAGCTGAGCTATTCCGAGGGAAGATTTCCCGAAGTCCATCTATCCTTCGTTCCATATTCTTCGATTTGGACAATGCCTCGAAGAATGAAGCCTATAGTTAGAATGGTCGGCTCAGAAAAGGTAGGAAGGAGTGGTCCTTTCTCGACAAGCTCACTTCCCTCAATCGTTCCCATGAATATGTACACGACGGGATGCTCTCGGGATTCTGTCGGAGACTCCGTGTTTCTCCTGTCACCTAATGAGACGGACAGAAAGCAATTCAATGTTTGATTGCATGTCGCTGTCGCCGTCGTGAAAAAATAGCTGACTCCTTCAAAATCTTGTCGAGGACTTTTTCGAGATGCGGCAGAGCAACGTGTAGAAGGATGGAAGATAAGATGGCGGGTAAGAAGAGACGAGTTCCCTCTCGGCTGGTCGCGCTTTTCTTCGGAGAGCCTCTGTCATTTTGTGAATTTCCGTGGAGGAAACGCGTCGTCCTTCGCCGCGTTGTTCCCCTTTCCCGCTGCAAACCATGGTGACAAACGTATGTGCGTCGCAAAAAATAGATGAAGAGGCAGATCCAGAACGACCTACGACGCCGGCGAGCAGTACGAAGGAACAAACGGAAAGAAGAACGAGGTCGCCGACGATGGGAGGGAGCGAGAAGACGCGAGCGGTCTTCTAACTCAATTTTCACCCGACGACGGGGACGTCGACTCGGAACGCTCATCCTCTTTCGCTTGCCGAATGGCCGAGCCAACGATTCCGTAAGCGTGAATCGTAATTCAGTTTTCTGCTTCGTTTCGTTTTCTGCTCCCTCGGTCAGAGGCGGAAAAGATTTGTTAGGGGGAATGGACTAAAGAAGCCATCCTACCGGAGCACAAGGTTCCAGATGAACACGAAGCGCTACACATTTTGATCCTTGCCCTGCTCGCTTTCCGAATCCTGAGCAGCAATTTCATCCGCTCTCCATTGCATGCGGAAGGTACAAAACAAAGAGACGAGTCTTCCACCGTTTAGTCGCCCCCCTGCAGTTCGCGCGGATATCGAGCAGGGAAGAGAGCAAGACGCAGACTCCTCGAGAACTCTCAAGGGGGACACGTTCTCACTATGTGAAGCCTAACTAATAAGGCTCATTCTCGTTCATGTAGAGCCAATCTTTTCCAGTTTATTGTAGAAATCGTGCTATGAACGCACGGTGTCCACTCCGACAGCGACTCTATGCTCAGGACAGCAGCAGGATACTCAGCTCTACTCGGTAGCATGCCCTGAGACATTTTTTCCCGGTGCTCCCTCATGAATACTACGGAAAGATCCATCACTTACGAGGAAAGCCATTCATCACGGATTGAGGGACTCTCGGGGGCCCCTCTCGGGCACATGCCAATCCCTAGTAGACAGAGCTTGTCGCAGCATGGATCGCTTGGGACGAAAAAATCTCGATGGGAGCTGTGGTCATGTTCGGTGATATCCTCATCGTTCTGGGAATTTCCCCCCTCAGGACGTCGGACCGTCGATAAGTCTTCCGGTTTCATCTTCGTCGTGATGCGATCCAGCGCTGCGAATTGAATCGATTCTGGGAGCACTGAACAGCTGTTCCGCGAGGAGCTAGTAACTCAAGTCCATGAGAGTAGCTTCTCCGTGGCTTGGTGAATCTCGACTCAGATCGATGCGGAACGTGTTTTTCCTTTCCTCTGTGTGCATTAAACCGGTCCTCGTTGCCCCGCGCGCAGATTTGCTCTGGGGGAAACCCCTTATCGAATGTCGTGTGAGCTCGAACACGGAGCTTGAAGCAGCGATTGCAAATGCTCTCTGTCCGCTATCTACCATCGACACACCTTCGTGTGAGTCGTCGCCTTGCTCGAGATGAGCCTTGCCTACCCCGTCATCGTATCAAGCAACTTTGCGATATGTAACCCACGCTCCCGTCACGTGCATCATCGATCGAACGGAACTTCCGTGAGCTCAGGCTCGAGGAACGAAAAGGCGCATTCAGCAGAGAGAAGATGACGTTGGTAGGTCACCTTTGTGGGGCTGGGCCACTTAACGCGGAGTCGGAAGCCGCAAGAGGCCATGACCGAGTCGGGTGTGCATTTTAATTTCCGCCCGGAGTATCCGTGAGGGAGCCACAGCGCTCATCGGCTAGTTCTTGTTTCCGCTTACCCGGTGTCAAACCGAAATCCGAGCAATCAACAAAGGTTCAACAGCTGATCTTCACTCCCATTCCGTACGACTTATTCTCTTTCTCGAATTCCATTCCCAGATATCGTACTACGGAACGGCTACAGACGGACGCAAAGGAAAACTCGACCGCCTGGGATTGAAAAACTTTTCCGCGCTGGATATCATCCTCCTCTGCGGGGGTAATTTATTTCGGTATCTATACGCCGCTCGATCGCGGGTAGGTTCAATTCCTCGTTGTCATATACAAACGTAGATTACATTTAAAAGTCTCTCCATGCATCTGCTTCACAATCATCATAATTACAATTCATCATTGAACAATGTGTAAAACTCTCTGATACTTGACAAGGATTACGTGGAATCAGAGTACGCTGGCGCTCTCATCAGTGAACCCTCCACTCTCCTTCACGCAAAGAACCCGGACTCCTACGAGCCTCATCCACATATATGTCGGACATTAAATTCTCCACATGGCATGAATCTCAGCCCTGGATGTATATAGAGTTTTCTTCGGATACCATCGGAGAATTCGGGCCCAGGGTAGGATCGGAGGGCTCATCGGCACCAGCTCCGAAATCTTCATTTTCCGGAGCCTCTGAACAGCTGGGCGGGTCTTCGTCGTCTCTCTGCAAGTTCTGCTCTCGCTCCACGAGGGAAGCATTTGCGTCGTTCTCGCCCTCGGCCACTGGGTCTCGATTGAGCAACAATGAGGCGATTTCACCTCTGATGAGGGCGACGCATAGCGGGACGATGAGGCAGAGCGGGACGATATATAGCAGCGCGGGCTGGCCGTTCTGGTACCCTACACACACGGCGAATGCCAAAATCAAACCCAAAACGTAAGAAGCGAACGTTACACCGAAGTACAGGAGCTTCGAGCCGCTTTTCTTGTCGAGATCGTAACGCAGCATTTGAGCTATGAGAGTTCCCGGTGCGACTATGTCGCCCAACCCGAGCTTCATGGAGCGTTCGATCCAGTAGCCATGCTCGAGCGAGTCATAAGGGAAAACAATTGTGATCGGACATTGGAGACTCGAGACAGTCTTCAGCACTTCGGTCCGGAAAACCCAGAACACGTCGTAGACCAGGAGGCCACAGAGGACGATGCAGTTAATCGCGATGGAGTTCAGTCGCATCGCTCCGATTTCGACGTTCCACACGCAGGCGAGGATCTCTGTGATTCCGACATGAGCGAGTGCGAGCCCGAAGAAATTATTGGCGATCCAATGGTGGGTCATCAGATACCAGCCCCCGATAGCGCCCGCGACGATGATGCCGAAGATTTCGAATCGATCGAAACTCATATCAATAATCTTGTGGCTCCCTGTCTTGCTCTCCATGAGCGCGTGATACTCCTGATTCTTGACCATGAATCCCGGAATGATGAAGCGCGAAATTCGAGCCACTGCCGACGCCAACGGGAACAATCCGATCCAGACTGCAACGAATCGGAAAACCCTGCTGAGGTTTTCCTCCCCGGAAGTTTTGATCCCCACGTAAACACCTACGAGGTAACACGAAAGGATCAGGGGGGAACACATCGCGACGATAGTATATTTTGAGGAAAACTTCTTGATGGTCTTTTCTTCGTCTTTGAGCTTCTTCGTCATATCGAGGAAGCTGGAGCTCGCGAAGATAATCGCTATCATCGCCATCATCAACAAGTTGCTCGAAGCCGTGACCAGTCCGGCCCAGTTTATCCAACTGGGGCTTAGAAGACTACACATTTCGAAAAGTTGAGCTCAGTCGCACTTGAATATGAACACCGTCCGCTGACTGCTCTCGCCTGTTCGATTGGATCACAATTGGATAATCACATCCGACGATTGGACACGATCGGCGAAAACAACATCAGGTGCGCAACCGGTGGCGCCAAAATGAAGAACGAGCGACAGTGGTCTATGTATTGTCGGGACGATAGCGCGCACAGGTGCACGAGCGAGCATGAACGTCCCGGAAAACACGTCGACCCGCGATGGAATGCCCTGTGCCGGCGCCGATCACAACGAAATATAAACGAAAAAAAAACGGCATAGACTGCGAGATGGAGCATCTACTTGTTGATTGGCCTCGGTTAGATGGGGAGCTGATTTCCAATTTATTTTTTTCAGAGAGAATGATTGTACCCTCCCGAGGGATCCCGCGAGAGATGAGGAACTTCGACGGGGCTCTTTTCCAAAATTATGAACGGGGCATCTCACACGATGACATTGAACGCGAGTGGGACCATACAATTATATGTTCAGTCCGAGCGAGCTCAAGCCCTCACTCTTTTGCATTCCATCATCCATGTTTTGACGTCGCGTCGCGCGTCCCCCACACCCCCTGCGGCTCCAGAAATATTTCTGGACGTAATCGATCGCGGTGCACCGGATCGTGGAGGTCAGGAAGGAACGTAGAAGCGATTTTTGAATTGATTATGTCGTGCAGCTGCTACGCGCTGTCCACGGAGCTCACTCCTCAGAGCAAGACCGCGATGTTGGCGCTTTTGGCGGGGGGAGCCGACTGCTTGGAGAGTCGAGTCCATCTCCAGTGTGGATCGACTTGAATGCGGCAGCGGGCTCGAAATTCACTAGGCAAAGCTGCCGACGGTTCCACGATGCTCGGGAATCTTAGCGGACGAGGAACTTCTATCCGAATCCCGAAGGGAGCGTCAGTGTTCGCCGCGATGCGACGCGCATTGGCTCTAACTCCGTAGGAGCCCTCATCGACTTGACTGATCATTGATAAAACGTGGACGATTCCATGGCTCGATCCTCTAGCCGACGGAGACCGCGGACGGAACGATGACTGCTCATCGTAGACCGGACGGACTCCCGAGGGACGGACAGGATTCGGAACCGGAATGATATGCATTCGTATCCGAGGGTATGCATCAAATCCCCGGAACTGAATCTCAATCCGAAGAATATCCGTATAGACCATAATTCACGGAAACGGAGCGGGCTCGAATGGCCTAGGAATCTCGTTACCGAAATTCGCGCTCTCGTAGACTCCTGAAAGCGAGCTTCCACGAAGATAGAGCCGTTCATCAAATTCGAGAGAATCTTTTATCAGCTGAGGGCTCTCCCGCAGTCCGATAGTCTGCTCGAGGACAATAGGACAGACCTCGCGTACGGCGCCGCGTCAGGCAGTAGACCGCTTTCTATAAGGATCACATTAGAATAAGTTCTCGAGGAAATCTCGGTCAACTTTGAGTAACCTCTTGCTTTGAGCCCAGGGATTCACAGCGGGCTTTTGTCTAAAAAAGACTCACCGACGAACGGCCCGTCGCACGCGGGCCTTTTGTGCAAGGTCCAGCACCGAGAGATGTCTCGAGACCGGTCTCGAGTCCAGAATCATTCTGGAGAACAGAGGGACGAGATTATGAAAGGAAGGCCGGTCTGTGATGAGAGAATATATCTTGTTCTGGACTTAAAGCATTCATCATTCTTGTTTTCCGCGGCTCGGAGACGGAAGCTAGGGCTTCTCTCACAAAATGCAAATTCCATCGCTCTGTTCGAATCGAGTCGGGCGGTAGTACATACGGTGTGGAAATCTACTTCTACTTTCGAGTCAATACGACCGATGCAAATTCGTTCCGATCGCTCGCTCGACCGGTCCAGAGCAGGCAGCGTTGTCGAACAGACGGAGCCATACCGTACAAACATACGTGAGTCAACCCACTGCGATTCTCAGAGACTCCGGGAGCTCGAGCTCTTGTTCGAACGCAGAGATTTTCGGTGATTATTCGAGCCCGTGGAGTTCGGGGGTTCCTCGAATCGCGTCGAAATTCTGAGCCGAGCGAAACGACGAAGGAGATTCTGCTCCCTTCGAACAGGTTTCCTCTCTCAAATTGATTCAGGGAGGCATCGAATGTATGGAGTTCCTTTCCTGAAAAAAAGTCGCGAATCCGAGGAATATGAGCCGATGTGTGTATAGCTGAGCAGTTCCTGCCTCCGAGCCGACATTCGGGTTTGGTCAAGCTCATGGAATGGACCTCGTCTCCATCGTAAAATCCGAGTCATAGGGCGAGCCCTCTCGGCGTCGACGTCGCCGGGTTGGATGTTGGGGATTTTTTTCCAGCGAGCGAGTATCCGAGGAGGGGATGGAAGCTTAAAGTGTGTTCTTCTGAAATGAGACGGGGAGAGAGAGAATGGAAGCTCTCCAAAAGACGTCCGACTCGCTTGAATAATTGACGAGCCGATGTAACACTCAATGGGGCGACGCTTTGTTCTCCCGTTCCGAATCGTTCCCTCAAGTTAATCGAAAGCATCGTTCGATCCTGCAAAATAATTCAAGCACCAATCAGCGACGAAACGTGCCTCGCTTGCGAATGGTCAGGAAGCGATCGCTGAAAATGATGATCTACGGCGAAGTCGTTTTCGACCTGATTCTCAATATATACGTATCATCTTCCAAAGCCATATCGTTCGGTTGAATGATGTTTGGTAAAAGCTATCTATCCGAGCTCACTCCAATTTTTCAAGTGCGATCGTTATGGAAGCGTCCTTCGGTAACGTGCCTCGGAGTCGCGTCGACGGACGAGCGAGTTATAACTCGGGTAGCAATGAGTCGACCGTAAAATAAAGAGCAGAGACCAGGAGGATCTCGGAGCTAGGGGTTGGAATCGAGAATAAGGGATTAAATTCCGAGCTCCGACTCAAGAGCTCCGGATTCACAGCGATCGAAGAATCAGTCGTATAAGAGCTCGCCAGCCGTCTCCTCCGGGGTTAGCCATCTAGTCTGTGCTCATCTTCGGATGGAATACACGCTGGCTGCAGACGAAGTGATCCGCATAGTTTTGTGCCCAACGTGTGATTTGCAACATCTGTATTGCATTAGCTTCTAAAATCTACTTACTCCTCGAGTAGAAGAAGCTCCGACTTAGCTCCCCACTCCCCGCACATCCTCTATCCCACCGGTCGTATCCCCTACCTTCGTCCCCCTACCGACTGATCCATCTCCTTTCCTATCCTCTTTCCTCGCAGTTCCTTCGCGTGGTGAATCCTTTGTTCTGGGTGTTGTCCCCGATCTCAAATCCTAGATTCTTGCTGCATCGCCTGTCTTCTGGTTGCTTGCTCGCGAGATCCGAATGATGCTCGTAGACGTCGAGCTTCTGGGTCAAGTGCGGGTAACATGAGAAGCCTGATAAGCTCCCTCGGAAGCGGTCTCCTGTTGGACGCCATCCGATAGTATTAAGGGCGAACTCGTCTTCCCTCACGGGCGGTTCGAATCTCATTCTCGCTTCCCGGCTCTCATGTAGCCGCCGACTTCTGCACCCGCTCGACTGATGACCCCTGTGTACAGAGGGATCAGCTAGTTTCCAAATGGATATGTCAACAGAGAGAGAGAACGACGGAACACGAGGTCGTGTTTGTCGATGTCTGTTCGTCGTTTTCCATCTGACTGGGGGTAATTGTTCTGAGCAGCAGCGTTCTGCTCATTCAAGGTCGAACCTACAGGTCGACCCCGTCATTCTTCTTTTTCTCCTTCGAGAATCTCGCAAGTCTTCGCAAGCTCAATCGTAGAGCACCGGCCGAAGGTCCCTCTCGCATTCCAGCGGAATTGCACGTCTGGGATGCGGATTCCCGGATTAGAATAAGGGAAATCAAGGCATTCCGTCAAGTCCAGTCAACGAATCATTTTTGAGCTCGCCTGTGTCCGAAACGCTGTTGTCGTGGAGGAAGAGGCTCCGAAAAAAAGGGGAGGGGATCAACAGGCTCAAAGGATTAAAAGAACGAGACGCGTTCAGATGAAGTGTTCTCGGGATCGGGGCTGTGATGACTGAATACCGGGGAGAGCACAACTGTTCCACTCCAGGGAAACCTGGAGAGTGAGGCAATGCAATCCCTCAGACTCATCATACGAGCTGACTGAGTCGAAAGTTTCCCGAGAACTCCCAAAGCCCGAATGGAGGTGTCCGTCCATTATTCCGCTAAAGATCCTCTTCTCTTGATTCCCGGGAACGGATACGACAAGGGATGCACGTTGCATTTTCTGTTCCGGGGCGAACCCCTCGAGGTCGCTGGTCTCATGCCGTCGAACGGATCTCTCAAAGTGGTTGAGCATGGAAACGGCGATATGGAGAAGACACGAGGCCCGGAGGAACGATTCGTGATTTCCGCTGCGTTTACAATTTCCTGCAATAAATGAGGAATTTCGGCGCTCGTTGCGATGTCGGTCGGCCACCGAGCGCTTTCCAATACCGAGTCTCGACCGGGAAAGTGGCGCTGTGCGGAATCTTTCCGTATCCGGCGACGTTTCCACGAGCCCGATATCTACTCCGCTATGACTTCTTGCAAATACTCCGGACGTGATTTATCGATATTCTTCTCCGTGGGAGAGGGTAAGGAAGGGAAATTCAATCATATGTTGCTCTGGCGAGGAGTTCCCCCCTCTAGACTTTCGCACCTGACGGCAAAAGTGGGTCGGAAGGTGAAGTTTGCGAACTCATCGAGAGGTAAACATCCGTCACGGTCCGAGGAAGGGCGACCGATGGCAAGATGATGGGTAGCCGCCGTTCCTACACTCACCCACCCACCCACCCACTCACTCCTCCAACAACACAATTTGGGCGAGCATCACTTAGACAGTTGCTAGACAACGCGCGCCGGCGCAGGAATCAAGCGGAACAAACAATTCGTTTCCGCGAGTCCGCTCTCCCCGCCTATCGAGCAGAGATATTGGCGACTTCAACAACATTGCCAACGTCAACGACGACGACGAGAGCCAGAGCACTACTTTGGCCGGCTCCAGAGCAGATCGATACGGAGCAATTCATCCACGTAAATTCGACGACGACCTTCGAGGCTCCGTCGCCGTCGCTAGGAATTCTGCGCCCATCCGTCGTCCGATTAGCCTAATTGTGGACAGGGATCGATAATAGATTCGTCCGTTCATCAGAAGCGAACCAGTCTCATCCTTGCGGAGCTCAGTCGGTGAATTAATTGAATCCGATGAGCTTACGGTCATGTATTCAGGATCCCCCGCAAATAAATTTAGAACTCCATCGAAGTCGTCGCCACCGATTTAACGCTTCACGGAAACGATGTTGTTTTTTTTTCGTCGAACGCAGCCATGCGAGACGAATTTTTCGTATTCGATAATGATCGGAGGGACTGAAGTTCCTTCAATCGATCACAGATCGAAGCCAATTACGGAGATGAGTCGCGCCGAGCCCCGAGAACTGTCCGCACTTCGTCAACCAGAACCTCTAGCCTGCCCGTCGAGCACAGAAGTGGGCGAGAAGGGACTTCCGTCCGGAAGTGAAACTCGAGAGGGCGAGTTCCAGTACCTCGGAAACGTTTTGGTGGAAATCCCGCGGAAGGGACGCGTAAGATTGCTGGATCGGAGAACAGTTTGAGAAGCATCGTTCGTTCGTTCCGTCGGTCGACCGCTTAGGAGATGTCGGACTCCACGAACTTTTAATTAGCGCCTGGATGCGAAACGATGAGTAATGGAACGAAGCGGCGCAGCGTCGCCTCGACGTCCCGTCAACGTCTCTCTGTCCGCCGGCCGCGGATCCGTCGGTTGCCCCTAGAATCCTCGCTCTTCCCGCCCACCGCTCGATGCTTTGCGGCCTGGTCACACCGCACCGCAAAACTCCCCCTGAAAAAACGGCACAACCATCCATTGACACATGCGATGCGACGTGAAGATGAACAGCTGATCGGAGAGCGATCAGAGGATTCTATTTCGATGTTCCTCGACATAATCTGTGGAGTGCCGAGCCCCTCGGGACTCGGGAGGACTCGGGAGCTGGGGCAGGCAAAGGGACGTGGAACCCTTTACGGCTGACAAGCGCTCCGGCGCGGACTTCCCGATAGAGAGAGAGACTCAAGTTCGAGCAGGTGGTCGGAGCCGAAGTCTTGTCAGAAGGAATTTACCGGGTCCCCAGCGGCCAATGAGCGGGAAATGGAGAGAGTGAAGAAGGAAATGTTTGCTTCGCTCGGAGCGAGCACTGTTAGTATCACAGTAGAGCAGAGAACGCTGGTCGTCCAACGACTTTCCCAATAGAAGCATCATTAGTAGCGCTATTCTTCGACTGATAACGCTCACACACTGCCAAAACAGAGTCGGACTCTCAACGTACCCCTTCGCCAAGCCCGTTGTTCACCCCATCCACGGGCGAGGTACCTGACTTCGAGTCACCGGAGTTGAAGGGAGGAGGGACGACAGCGCTTCCAATTATCGACTCATCGATTCTGCGTTTGGCTAATTTACATCGCACCGAACACCGAATATATCGGTCGGTAGCGGAAAGTCAGGCGGCGGAGCAACATAGGTGGATAGAACGCCACACACAGAGTTTTTCCCGTTTTTTCTGAGGGGCGGACAGGAGGAAAGGGTTCTCCGTGAAGAGCTCCCGACGGCGACCACCGCTCCTACGGGGCACCGTTCCAGCGTACGCACCAGGAGCTCGGACCCGCTCAGTCGCGATCTCCTCCAAAACTTCGTCCCTGTCTCGACAGTTTCCCGAAAATCCAGAGGAACGCCTAAACTTCCCCGAAAATCCTGAGGAACGCCGAAACTTCCCCGAAGATCCAAACGAACGCCGAAAGTTTCGAAGGGAGCGAACGGATGCTCGAACTGAAATCGCTTTCAATTACCTCTCGCTCAGAGATCAGTCATCGGGCTGTCTCATGCGTCAAGCAGGAAAACTTTCGACGGCAATCCTTAGACACCGGCTCCAGCTCAGCGAGCACGCACACCCGAGGAGGACATCGGAAATAGACTCTCCAGACAAACGCTTTATTCGGTCCACATACATTCAACAGGGAGCATTGTGTGTTCACGCAGTGTTCGATCTACGGACGTGGAGCGGTCCTTATCCGAGAACTCGAACGGAAGTCATCGAGCATGCTGAAACTTGCGCCCCGAGTCGAGTTTCGCAATCGATCTCCTTCAAAGTCTAACAGAAATCCAAGCGAACGATTCCCACGGCGTTGAGCGTGACGGACTAATTGTCTGCCACGCTTTGGCACGTTTTGTTACGATAGTTGTAGGTTCGCTTTGCTCGCTCTAATCCCCTCCAATCTCTTTTCGACTCGCTCTCTTGGGGTTAGCTGCCTGCGTACGCTACGGTTCGGACCATCGACCAGTTTAGTTCGTCCCATAGCTTCCGTAGAACTCCTCCTACTCCAATGGCGCATGTCCGCTAAAAGCAACAAGTAATTGGAAGAGCTCGAACAAATTAGATCCCCGGCCGAGCCGGTCGTCCAGGTTCGCGGATCTGCGTCTGATGAATAAACTGTGCGAGGAGCGTGCGTTTAAATCTCAGCTGACTGTTGAGCTTCTTCGGAAATCGTCTCGACAAGCCGTGCGTATCGAGTCGATTCACCCCCCGGGAACCCGGGCCGACTCGGACCGGAATGCCACCGTTGCGATCAAAGCCTCGAGAAAGCGGATGGACGTCACGCGTCTCCCCGCATCGGATCGAGGTACACGTTTTACTGAAATTTTCTCCGAGAGGAATTTATTTTTTGTTCTCCGGCTTGAGGAGTCGAACTTTCATGATACACCCGGGGGGCGCCCTTGCTCGTGTTCCGAATGTATTAGAATACGCTCTCCCACATGATGTCTTCGAGCTCATGAGACGGAAAAGGCTCCCAACGAAGGCGCAGGCACCGCCATATGACTACAGTTGCCATGGAATGTCTCCTCAGTAATTCTAAGGTGTAGAATAATTCCGCGGATCCGAGTTGTCGGCCTTTTCGTCGAGCTGGATGCTCTCAAGATGCTCTCGTGGGACGGAGCTCGGACCCTCTCATGCTACCGATCATTCGTCAGAGCCGAGGATACAGCGTTACCTTCAAGCATACATGTAGGTGTTTCCGCTCGACAACACTCAGAAAGTATCTTTCCCGCAGTGTCTTTCACGTCTGCGTTCGTCTCCCGGGTCCGATCTCGAATGAGTCATTCATTTTGAGTCATCCAGCTGATGGGCATCGCCGTCTATCCTAGGGCTTACGTCATGGGTTCGAGGCTTCTAGAGAGACTCTGAAGCCGTAAGCTATAAGAGAGCCATCGACATTCTCTCAGACCAGAGCCTATGTGCGCTGACGCTTATCGGAGGCGGGTTCTTTCGGAGGAGAATCAAGCGAGACCGCTACAACTTGTTCTGGAAACGTGAGAATGTGCGACGAACGTAGGATACTGTGCCGGTGCCAGCGACCGAGCTTCGATCAGAGATTGTCCCTCTGGTCGCCGCCGATCGACCGAAGCATGGGACTGCCCCACACCACGTCTGTGCTCGGATGGTTCGACAATCAAATGAATCGACTTCAAGAGGATCTACACAGCCTCCGTTTCTTCGGAATTCCACAAGTCGCCAGAGTTGCCTTCGATCCCGAAAGACGATCCCGTCTATTTGATGCTCTTTTCGACGAGGACACAAGCTCGAACCTGCGACCCCAATTTAGTCTAAACACCGCAGAGAATCGAGTCGAGTGTCAACTTAGCACCGGTTGCGGGGATTTCTTCAGACCGGAGGACATCGAAGTGAACATCAAGGGTCGAGACGTAGAATTCAAAGCGCGTCGAGAGGAAAACTCCGACGACCGCAACAGCTATTCAGTCCGAGAAGTACGCCGGCTGTTCACTGTCCCGGAAACAGCGGACATTGAAGGGCTGCAGGCAGAGATCGGTCCCAACGGGAAAGTTGTCCTCACCGCACCGCTGATAAAGCCCGCTATCGAAAACAAACCGCAGCAGGGTCCTATTCCTATAAAAATCAACAGAGCCTGACCACGACTCGGCGTATACAGCACACCCGTCGCCTGCGGTCAGGATCAGGTCCCAATGTGCTATAGCATTCAGCAACATTCAGTTTCCCGCTCCCTGTTCATATATGAATAAACCGAAGACGCTTCCAAGAGTCATTCGTGTCGATAATGATATTGAGTTTAAGGAAATTTATCATTTATGCTTCTCTTCAACGCTCAACGATGATGTCATGCGATTTCCTTCTGAGTGAGAGAGAAGAGCTCCCTGAAAATTCAGTTCCGGAACAAAAAAATCCTGAGCCTGGATTCCTGTAAGGGGCAAAACTATAATCTTCGGAGCACCTTAGTTTCTAGGCATTTTGGAACACCAATGTGAGATGATAAACGATCCATGCATCTATATACGGTCAGCAAGTCTATGAACATCCATAACTCTGCACTCCCTCATGTGTCACAGGATTTCCGATATAGCCCCCGACAAACCCCCCCGTTTCGGGAAGCCAATCGCGCTGGTCCCTCTTCAGAGAAATCGACGCGAAAATGCGGGGAAAGCGGGATCGAGGAGCTGTCTCTTTTCGTTATTACTCATGATCGTGTTATTTTCCTGTTCGTCAGTGCTTTGGTTTGGGTTGCTCCCTGTATCGTAGAGCCCTTCCGCGTGAAAGATCGAGCTCAGGAAACGATGGCGCGCCCAATCAGGATTCAAAGAATTCCCGTAGCTTGTGGGCTCGATCGGGCTCATTCCGTCCCTTTGGAGAGTACAGAAATCCCCTAACCATACCCAGATAGCTGATTCGCGCGGCAGCGCTCTCGAAACTCTCACGATACGGCATCAGATGGATACGAGATGGCACTCTCCGGATAATGCCCAGAGGATCCAGAGAATCACCGCCAGCAACTCCGACGCCACCGCCCCTCGGCGCAATCTCCCCTTTGATAACCGGAATCATTCCTTAAACGACGGAACCCGAGCGGTCACATCTCGGAAATCTGCAGTGTTCGGAATCAGCTGTCACCCACTGAAGTGAGCGGTGTGAGTCTTCTTTTAAACGCCTCCCGAATCTCTATTTTCTGCGGAGTTTATAGATTCAGTGAGTCCTCCTGTGAGAGTTGCTCCCGCACAGGTATGCCGAGATGACCTCCGGGACGATAAGTGGAGACTCTCCCGATCATCCCCAATGTGACTTCCGGCGCAATGCGCGAAACACACCAAACCCTCGAGCTTGATCTCATCCCGAATTACTCATAAGAAGGAGATTATTGTTTGAGAACAGCGGACCTAGAACCACTCCGATAAGGCGAGAGGTTCAGTGTAGCACTTGAGCGGGTCACTCCCGCACGGGAGTCCTGGCGATCGTTCGATCTCTTCTCGAGTGAGGATGACTCCTTCTGTTTTCTCCCCACGACCGGAACGCGGATTCCCCCCGCGGATTGTCTCGATGCCTCTCTTTGGAGTATCACCCCGATTGTCTAGCGATGCATGGAGACATGAGATTCTAAAATCTCATTTTATGCAAGCAGATGTCGATAACTGGGAAACTTGCTGTCGTCACCGGAGGGGCTTCCGGAATCGGGAGAGCGGTTTGTCAGGCCCTCGCTCGCAACGGCTTCAGATGCGTTGTCGCAGACTTGAACCTGGAAGATGCCAAGAAGACGAGCGACATTCTGGAAAAGAGTAGGTTCAAGGAGTCGACGAACGGACGGGCGATTCGTGGATGGCACAGGATACTAACTCTCTGATCATCGGAAACCTCCAGCTGCCGATGGAAAACATTCGGCTGTCGAAGTTGATGTCTCGAACGGGAGCTCGGTTGCTTCGCTATTCGCAAAGGTCAAAGAATTCCATTCGATGCCAGCGAATGTTGTCGTCAATTGTGCCGGAATAACCCGAGATGGGTTCCTGCTGGACATGTCTGAAACTCAATTCGATCAGGTCGTGAATGTGAATCTGAAGGCAAGTCTGAAGTGGCTCTTCTGTGGGGGTTTCCCTTTAGCAGCTAGGATTTATCTTCGCGGAGTTTTCTCTATTCTGCGAGTCCCTTCCTGACCGTGAGAGACTTTCCAGGGAACGTTCCTGATCACAAAACATGGTGCTCAGGAAATGATCGCGGCCCAGATCCCCGGTTCGATCGTGACCATTTCCTCGGTGATCGGTATGGAGATTAATGTTGACTTGTCGTGGGTCGTCTTCGCCCTCCAATCGGGCCATAAAGACTTTCAGATTCGGAGTCTCCAAGACGATCTGATAGATTTTTGATTTCGTCAGGCAAAACCGGCAATATCGGTCAGACGAACTACGCCGCTTCCAAAGCGGGCGTGGTCGGATTTACAAAATCGGCTGCTCAAGAACTGGCGAAATTCAATATACGGTAGGTTTACTCAGGCATTGAAGATCGAGGGAGGGGGAGAGTGCTTCTAGAGCGGGACCTAATGTTTCAGGTGTAATTCCGTCCTTCCTGGCTTCATTGACACGCCGATGATAGCGACGGTGCCCGAAAAAGTCATGTCGAAGGTAGAAGGCAGCATACCCTTGAGGCGCAGAGGTACTCCGGATGAGGTGGCTGAGGTCAGTAGAATATGTACCGATCGCCATGAGCGATTTCTCCCCGGGGGTTTGCTATGTTTCCGTCGCAGTAATGGGGACAGGATCGGGAACTTTCTTTCGAACGATTCCAGGTCGTGCACTTCTTGGCGTCGGAGAACAGTTCTTACATGACTGGAAGCATCATCGAGGTCACAGGAGGACTCTTCATGTAATGCTTTACCGACGCGCGCAGTGAATCGTTCTGAACAGTTTTGTAATAAACTCTATCGAATTAGAACATTTTGGCTTTCAATTAGCGCCAATTTTTATCGATGTTTCCGCCGGTCTTCTGGAGACGAGATTCATCCGAATACTTCTCTTGGAATCGATTCGGGAAATGCATTCGATAAACTCGACGGAGAGAATCGGATCCGATGGAAGAGAGGCGTCTCCGTGAGGGTGCCCGCTCCCCTTTTTTCTAATAACAAGGAGAACCTCATCAAGGGAAACATGAGTCAAAATGTCATTGCAAAGGTCGGGACTTTTTCGGGGGAGAGGGAGAATCTGGTTTCACTTGTTTCACGAATTGAACATCCATGTGCTTACGTTGCGGCTCTCGCGAGGTCATTGCGACCCGGAGGATGGAGGATTCTTTCCATGTGTTTTTATCTTCCCTCAGTTCCAAACCCGCTTTGGGTGGCTCGTTGTGAGAATCCAGGTGCTATAGCAGCGAAGCTCGGAACGGAGTCCAGAGTATTATTTCGGGCCACGCTCAAAACTGTTTGGATCGAAGGGTGCTAATTCAGCTGTTACCCGCTTATCGCCATCGAACAGCCTCAGCTGTCATCTGCAGGCGGCACAAACGCTTCTTGTTTTTCTACTTGATCACGTAGAGTTGTTTTGCTCTCAACCGCGAATTATTAACTCCGCGTTCCAGCGAAAGCACCGTCTCTCCCGTGATCGGTGATATCCTCCGATCCTGGTCGATAATTAGGAAATCCGCTTGCGGACCACTGAGAATCCCGACCGACAGAAACGCGCCCGAGCGGGCATTCTCTGTGGATGATGAATCCTTGGAATCTCCTCGTCGCTCCTGTGGCTAATCGATGCATAAATGACCTGTAAGCGACCACGCTGTTATACTGGCCGGGATGTGCCCTAGCCTCCACGAGCCACCGGATTAATAATAATTATGTTATAAATATATATTAAATCGTGAAGTAATACAGGGATCTCCTCATCGAGGTGACATGAATGCCATCGATATCCAAGAAGGCATTCGCTTTATTGCCCGCTCGGATCGGAAGAATTTGATTGCGACAGACCAAGAATCGGAATAGATCCACCGGCGCGATCGCTTAGGCTCCAGTCGTACTTCTCGGTCAGACAAACCCTTTCCGGAGTGCGTCAGTGGGTTCGATTCATGTCTCGCGGCTCCGCATCAATGAGTGAGCAAGCTCCTGCGATAAGTCGCTTACGGAGCTAACTAAGTGATGCTAATCATCCGAACCGAGTGTCATCACATACGAGAGCCTAAGCAAATGCAATCGCCATTCTGAGTATTTGGCGCAAGAAATTCTGACTTTGGAATGTTTCTTCCTCTCATTACCTCCACTTCACTTTGGAGAATGAAGTCAAATCTTGCGATCGGGGAATGGGAGCTCTGCGGAGGTTTGAGGAGAGCAGAACTCGAGAATTTAATTTCGAGAATTAGATCCCTCGTAACCGTGCGACACTTCGGACTCGAAATTCCCCGAGTCGAGGGCTCTCGTCGATTCAGGTCTGTAGCGAAACTCGATTCTCTTTCGCCCACGTCTGCAAAGCTTTCAAAATAGGCTCGGCGTGCGGTTTGTTGCTTTTACGCAAGATTTGCCAAACAACCGACAGGGATTCTTTGGGCTCGTGGCCCGCTATGACCTTTTGAAGCGTGCCGAGAGCAGCGCCCTGTTTGCCCTCCCAGTATTCGGGGTTTGGGTCGATGGAGTCCAGCTGCTCGAACGCTTTGAGTGACGTCATGAACTGTCCCATCCGGTAGCAATCGTTCGCTATGAGTTGCAAGAGACTGAAAGATTCGGCGGAGTCTTGCAGCCGCTCGTACATCTCCCAGGCCTGGAGGGGTTTCTTGTTCATGATGTAGCATCTCACCAGCCAGCTCTGGTAGACGTAGTCGGCTTTGATTTTTTCGTTCTGGACGAGGAGAAATAGATCCTCTGCCTCCTTGTAGGCGCCGGTGGCCGCTTTCGCCTGAGCGTAGTTGAAGTTGAACGTGTCGTCGTTGTAGAAGTAACTCTTGATAGAGTTCAGGTACAACAAGACGTCATCGAATTGTTTCAGGAGAAAAAAACACGAAGCCATGCACTGTCTGCCGGGAATGGTATCGCATTCGGTCGCGGATCCGCCGACCAGTTGGAAGTACTGCTGAGCCACTTTGAGATGCTCCCGCTGCAGAAGATAGGCGCCTTGTTCCTGACCGACCGCTGCGTTGACGACCGCCTTCAGGATGTATTCGTGCGGGACGCTCGGCTCGAGGTCCTTGATCAGCGCGTGGGCGCTTTGAATGTCGTCCTGCTTCAGGTAGTAGATGACGAGGTTGAGCCGTGCTTCGGGGATAATATCTATCAGTGGCGGAAACACCTGAAGTGCGCCCTCGCCGCTCCTGAAAACCACCATATTGTGTCGGATCAGATCCTTGGCGTAGGAGAAAGAAGGCGAGGCCAACTCCTGCAGATGGCCCAGTTCGGCTTCAGCCGCTTTGCCGTTGTACAGACGGAAGTGATTGCAAGCCTTGAGGTTGATGGCTGTCGCCGAGTCGGGATGGTGTTGCAGGTAGACGGCCAAGACCTCCTGCGACACGTCGTAGTAGTCGAGCTTATAGTAACAGAGTGCCACGTAAACGTTCAGCGCGAGGAATTCCCGGTTGTCGAGAAGAATTCGCTTGTATACATCGATCGCTTCCTGGTAATGACTTCGCAAGTAGTGAATCGACGCCAAGGAAAGCTGGTCCTGGAGAATATCCTGTAGCTGCTGATGGTGTGTCATGAGTTTCTGCTCGTCCCCGAACTTGTGTGCCAGATGAAAGAGTATACGATTCTGCAAATCACCGCTTACGCCTTTGCCAACCGACTTCTCGGCCTCCTTGTAGAGGCCTAGATAGAATTGACAGCAAGCCAAGTAGGTCCAACATTCTTTCGGTGCGTTTTTACGCTTCAGGATCTTGTGATATTCCTCGGAGGCTTGCTTGTAGTTGCCCAGGTGAAATGCGCAATATGCGACCCACAGATCGGATTCAAGTGTGCTCTTACCGGATGAGCGTTGAAACTCCAGGTAAGCGTGAGCCCCGCTGAAATCTCGTCGAGCGAGGAATTCCTCGAGTGATGGCACTTTCCCGTCGGCCGCGAGGGCTATCGACGAGCCGCCCGCGTGCGTCACTGCAAGATCCGGTTTCGTGCGGGAGAGAAGCATTTCGAGTTCGCGTTTCCGTTGCGCGATCGAGGTGACGATTTTCGGTTTTTCTTCTAGTGCTGTATGTGTCCTCCGCGGCTCGGAGCGGGATCGGGCACCGAGGAACAGAGCCCGGGTCTCTATGACAACGCTGAGACGCTGCGATGGATAAAGAAAATTGCCGGGTGCGCTCCACGTCGTCCAGGCTGTTGTTGTGTGAACTTGACGCCGAGAATGTCGCCGTCGTTTCCCGGCACTCCGAGGAATTCGTGTAGTGAAGGCAAGCAGCTGCAGCTTGATTACGAACCTGCCGGCACCATTAAGTTAGTCTCGAGACTCGCGTTGCCCAGGACAACTCGTCCGATACAAAACCAGAAACAGGCCAACAATAACACAACGGCATGGATCCGAACTTATCAGTCGGGAGCTTTATCGCTTCTCGCGCACTGTGGCTCAGGAGCGATCGGGCTGACCCACGAAAAGATGCTGCCCGCCGAAAATCGAGCTTCTTCGGATGCTTGTACTCTTTATGTATAACACGGCAGCAGATTTGTGTCCACAAACGCACAGCGCAGTCCTTCGGTGGGATCCGCAAAAAATTCTGAAGCTCCGAATCAACCTCTCATGTCATAATGTGAGGTCTGAGAAATCAGTTCCCAACGAGGGGATTGAGCGCTACAGCAGAGTCTGGCATCAATCAGGTACGGACTGACGGCGAAGCATTCATGGCCGAGCGAGGTACCTTAACGTGCCTCAACGATCACGAATTAGACCGCGATACTATGGACGAGTGCCTCGAGCACTATTCCTCACGGTGAGAGAAGACATCGGAAGAACACCATCGGGCGACTCGTGAGAACCTACTCGTACCTTTCGGAGACGCGGTACAAAGTAGGCGGTATAAATGAGGACCCATTCTCATTCAGGATTGCCTGCTCAGTCAGTCATTCTTGCGGTTCGAGGTTCCTCTGCGTAATTCCTAAGGCCAATTGCTCTCATCGTTCGATGCAGCGCGAAATTCCGGATGAATGGATCCCAAAATGAAAATGTGCTGCTCCGAATCATTCCGAGGAAATGGATAGATCCTCCCCGCGTCACTGACGACTCATGATGATTGCACCACATCGTTGGAATTCATTCTCATTCCGTACAATTTTTGAACAAGAATCTGTCAGGGGTTCCCAATCATTGATGGGATGGGTATTCCTGGGTGGGCATGGCTGCCGCTAGACCCGGCTCAAAAAATCGAGCGAGGCGGGAAGAGACTTCGAGCTTTTTTCCGCGGAAAAAATTTGGAGGGAGCAGCCGCGTCCCTCTCAGTCAGGAGAAAAGCGCCGACGAGGTTTGGAAGACAACAGATGTAGTAGAGGGACGAACGATCAGCGAGCGAAGCTCCTAACGACAGCGGGGAACCGAAGCACAAGACATGGCCCGCTCTGCGAGGAGGACTCATACCACTGCTCGCTGTCATCCGCACTAAATCACGCTCATCCACAGCGTGGGTAAAACAAGGAGAGGCAAAGAAAAAAAACAACTGGTGATGACATTCAATGTTTTCTCGGAAAGTCTTCCACAGGGCAGGGGACATCATGGGGAATGGGACAGAGCTCGTCAATACTTCAGGAGGATCCGAGGACGATGCAGTCGAGGCCGTCGTTGCCGTCATCGTTGCAATAGCAGCGGCGTGCTTGCAGTCTTTCATCCGTTCCTTGCCAGTCGCTCACGGGAAAACACATGTTTTCAATGCGGGTGTTCGACCGATGATAGCGCGCTCCTGGATCTAACCCCAACCACCGACGGACTGAACGCCGACAGACAACGCGTTTTTAAGCGTCAGCGTAGTCGAAGCCACCCGCCTTCGATTTTAAAGGAAACGGTCCGACTGAGGTGTAAGGGGAGAGGTGGCACACCGCTCCTATGAGGAAACAGCCGGCTCAACGGGATATATCGAATGTCGATCGAGGAGATTAGAATACGATGCGTGTACCTATCGACAAAGCGCATTTTCGAGATCCCTTGTCAGGATTCTTGAGCTATTCCCGAGCCGATCGTCAGCAGAACATATGTACATGACCACAGATCGCGGAGATCTCGATCATCCTAGGGGACCGTGCGACCTCGACTTCCGACGGCTGTAATCGACCGGCTCTGAGTATCGTGATTGATCCCCGAGCGGCTCATATTTATTCCACCTCAATGAGACACTCGATTCACTCCACCTCTGGTCTACTTCCCTCAGTTTACAGACACTTCGATCCTCGAAGTCACTCACAATACGAATGGAACAGTCGAGATAAGCGCGTGACTGTTACCTCTGTCTGCTACCGTCCAACGATCGAGTGGGCTTTCCGGAAATGATGCGCGGCGGGCCGCGGGATGCGTACGAGAATAGACGGCGTAAATATAGTGTTTTGACCATGGGAGTCAGGCGCCGTGGAACCCAAACCCGCAGTCTCTAAGCCTCCCCGAAATATCTGTCGTTTCCGGCGCTGCTCGCTATATCAAAGCTGCCCTCGTTCTCCCTTCTCCGGTATCTTGGTCGGTTTTCGATGCGTCGGCATCGCTCACAGATTGCATCCATCTTCGCTCCGGACTGCTCGCCTTCGTCGGCGGGTCCGTCCCTTCCGCCACTCGATCCCTCGAGGTCCTCCATGGCGTCCTTATTCCACCGCCATCATCGCGTAAGGGTTGGTCCTTTTGGGCGCTGCGAATTGCCAAGAGCGATGATGGAGATTAGAAATGATCGACCTCGATGTCATGGAGCTCTTGAACATGGTTCGGAAATCATTTGAGCTTCTCATTTCCGCTTGAATGTATCGTACCCTCCGACTATTGAGCTCAATGCGCCTTCGCGTCGACCAAAGTCTACCGACGATGTAGGTGTCGATACCCACCCCAGAGACCCAGAACATATTTTAGGTCGCGAATTCAGCGTCGCCGGCGAGGATGGCATGGTTCTGGGTCCACCATAATTGCAGCTCTGAAGTCATGGTGAATTTCTTCCCCTCTCCGTCTCAGCTTCCCGAGTAGAATCACCCGTTGCAGCGGCAAATCGATGAAGCGCAAGGGGTAGCTCTGGCTTCGAAGCGTTGCCCTCCGATTCGCACCATCACATGCGCGCTGTCCCACGGTCTGCTCCAAATTGGGCTAAGCCCTATGGTCTCCAGTCTCGGGCGAATGTCGTAAGGGATTTTCAGGGATCTGGGAGCTATATCGGAATCAGAGACGAGAGCCATCAGGATTCGAAACCGACCCTCGGCACCACAGGCTGATGTAGGGCCGGAGTTGCGGATCTCTCCGCGACTTTCTCTCGTCTGACCAGCGGCGGAAAGTGCTGCGGTGTTTTTCGAGACTTGTTAGCGGCACGACTGAGTCATCCACGGCGGGTCGTGAAGCCCCCACTTAGAACGATGCCTACAAGATGAATTTCAGAATCACGAGCAACCGTGGAAACCCACGAGACATTCTCGCGTGTGGAATCCTCAGAATCGTTCTCGGAATCTCAGCGCTTGTCGCTGCTGAACCACGATAGTTTGACGGCCGTCGTTTCATTCCTTTCATGAATGCTTCGGATCTCTTGGATGCCTCCATCGGATGATACGTGAGGAGCATGATGGAGCGATGGTCTTGACCGGAAGCTACGTAGGTATACGAGCGGAAAGGCAGCGGAGAATTTCCGCGAGTTCTGAGAATGCACCATTCTAATGATATCCCGATTTCGGTACAGACGGCAGCGGCAACATCGCTGCAATGCGCGCTCACCACGCCGCGTAATTCGGTGTTCAGGGGCTGAATCAGCTTCGCAGCGGCGATGCGCCGAAGCTGACGCCGTGTTGATTGTGGTGGCAGCGGATCAGTCTTGATGATGCGCTTCGAGATGCGCGAATGTTTGCTCCAGACTTCCGCCTTGCCTCATTTTCGTACACACCACCATCACCGCGATCGGAAGTCATAGGAGAGTCTCGCAAGTATGGCATAGATCTGAAGGTCTGAAATAATCTTACGGGGGGAGGGTGGGACAGTGTAGCGCGCCCATTGAGACTACCGGATATATGGACCAATCGCTTTCTCAGGCCGGGACTCGTATCCCCGTTTTGTTGAGCTCACGTTTTTCGCTTTATCGAATCATGCTGATCCCTTCCTTATCTTGTTATGGGGGGATTCCCCCTCAGAAAAGAGCACGCAAACTGTGTGAAAGCGTGACAATACAATCAGTCCGCTGCTCGAAGGGAAGGGTGAAATCCGTGATAAACATATAATGGATTGTGTTCCCCGTGCTGCTCGGCAGATCCAAATATCTTCAGGAACCCTGTCGAATACCTAAGGTTCTACAGGCGACCCGATCAGTTCGGCCGGTCAGAATGACCCATTCATTCGGACCAGAATGGTTCGGTCCCGATGCGTCCCTAATGAGTGGACTATCTGTATTTCAGTGGGACAAAACTGCTCCAATCTCGACCGCATGAGAATCATTCATACGTGGTATATATGTATGAACGCGAACTCGTGATATTGAGGTTCGAGCCTCTTCAAAAAAGCAGGAGGAGACGGTGCGGAGCCGCGGCTAGATGATTGATGGTTGGAGCAGTTCGACTTCGTCGGTGGAAACTTGAATCTTCCCCATGGACTGATTCAGAAAGCAAGGTTTGAGATAAGATCGACCGCCGATCGAGATCGAACATTCTACATTGGGAGTCTTACGGGAAGCTTTTTGGAGGCCCGTACGCTACCCCCTTCCGCCTCAGCGGCTCATTCTCGGGAATGCACTCCCGAGAAGCCAGATGCGCTGAGGTCAACAGCCTCGTTGGGCTATCACGCTAGAGGACCAGGTGCGGTGGAAATCGATGAGACTTTCGAGCGGTCTTTTTCTTGAGACCGTTGAACTCATCCCTGTGGGAGGAGCCCTCCGTCTAATGTCTAACAATTAGAGCCACCGGACAGCGGCGATTCCCATCTCGATAATACGATAGCTAGAGGTCCGCGTTCGCTGTACGGCAGGAGATTCGGAACCAATGAAAAGCTTGGCTCGTCGGAGTCTCTCCGCCTTCTTTTGGCAAGCTTGTCGCAAGTCGTGACCTCGCTCGCGGAATTTCGGCGTTCATCACTCTTGAGATTTCGCCTCCCGTCGATAAGGAATGAGTTCCCTCCAACTCCGACGGCCTAAATCGGGGTGGCGAACTCCGCGCAAGGGCGCGGGACAACCGCAGAAAGTATATTTGGGGATCCGAAGTCCTTCGGATTCAAAGTCTCATCTCCCGCACGGGTCTTAGCAACGAGTGGTTTGTCTACAGAAAAGCGCAAACGTGCTTCCGCGGCCGTGCGGCCGATCCAGACGCTCGCGAAAGTGACCGAGAGCGATTCAGGCGAAGATATTAGACAGAGGCGGGAAATTCGAATTTTAGCGCCGGGAGAGTCGGTCCTCTCTGCGTCAAGCCGCATCGAAAAATTGTGGCTCCAACCGTGTCTCTCTCCGACAAGGCAGGCGTTCCATTTGAATTTCTTGAAGTTTTCGCCGAATTATCCAGTTGCTGGTGTACACAACGACTAATCGGACTCGACAGCCCATCTGTTGGCGACATGGAAGTCGGGATTCGAATGGGCGGCCAGTACGCCGCGTTTTGGGTCGTAGATCGCATTTGCAAATATTTCGTTGATCGAGATTACGATAAAAGGTTAGAAGAACTTATGAGAGATTACATGTGAACTCGGACGTTCCTTGAAGAGACTCTTGACCAACGCAAGGAAGACCGGCGGGTGGGAATGTGTCGTGACAGGTCCGTCCTGACAGAACGGCGCGCGCGTCATGTGAGCCATCCTGAGCCGGCACTTTCGTACCGAGCTCGCCTGTGGAACGCGTATTAAAGTTTCCCGCTGAGCGACGACCTGATGCATTCGCGACTTCCCCTTCACCAGTGAATCTGCACAGTATGGAGAGTGACTCTTCGATATAATCATTGAATCGAAAGCGTAGAATTCGTGACCGAAGCAGTGCGTGAGACCCGACGAAACGAGATGGGATCCGTACCCTTTCGCGTATCGCGCTGGTGAATCAACTCGACGATACCCGACGTGACGTAAACAGCGCATGGTCCCACGCAGCGATGCATTGTGTGTTGTGTGAGCTCGATCTCTCTCCGTAGTGAGCCCGTCAGGTCAGAGCTGTGATCGGAGGAAATACGAGCCGCTATCGAGAAGTTTGGTTGCAGAGGTCTAAATTCTGGTCGGCGGGGTTATTCGCAAGATGATTTCCTCCTGAGAATTCCAACCTAACTCATTGACATCGACAGGAAGCACAATGTGCAAGAATTGAAGTTTCCCAAATTCCTTCGCGAACATATTCCACCATGTCCTCAAGTCCGCATTCACACCCTGGACGGATGAAGAATCGCCGACCCCTGGACAATTTCTCAGAATGTTTTCCCTCCACAGATACCAAATTTGGCGGAGTGAGTTCGAAATACTGATGCTTATCATATTTTTGTGGTCTGCCTGGTTCCGCACCGTCCCTTGGGTGTTCTTGGCCCTGACGTTGCTGACTTGGCTCGCATCGGTTCCGAACGAGGGCCATCAAATTCTCTTCCGTGGCAGAGTTCAACTCATAATACCTCTAGTGACGAAAGCGGTGAGTAGGCTATGATTTACACTGAAGAAGTCAGGCGACCTGGGTCACCTGATCATCGCCAAGATTCGAGACTGATCGGGACTTCTATTTTGTTTCCAGTTCAAAAACACTCTAAGACACTACCGCAACTTGAGAGACGGAGCACCCGGCGCATCCGAGAGCGCTTCGTTGATTGAGCGCATCGTATTCTCGGTGTTTCTGCTTTTCGCGGCTATTCGTGAGAAAACGAATGTTCGTGGTCATGTGGTTTCTTTCGTGGCGAGCATGCGGAGCTTCTGGAGAGACACGATCGAGAATTACCGCAACATGGAGCCGGAGGTAAGCTCTGATTCATGAAGCTGAATAGAGCCCGTGGACTCAAGAAGACACTCACAGATGAAATTTGGAATTTTAGTTCTGGTTCATGTAAGAACTCCATAGAGATACCCTCAAGCTTGATGGGACTCCGGTGGAAGCAGACGTTTGGAAAAGATCCCGAGTCATTCGGATTACAGAACATGCAAGACAGCGTTTTCAAAGATTCTCGCTCGGAGCGGGAAACGCGCAGGTCGAATGCCGATTCTGTCATTATCCCTCTCGAACAGCTCGAGACGTCTTTTGACTGACTCGATCGTCCTTCCGAGAAATCAATCGGGACGATTGGAGATTATTCGGGAATCGCCTCCCTCGCACTTATTCGGAGATTATTTTGCAGACGCCACATCAGAGCTTCGTTTCGACTCAGAAGAGCGTTTCGTTCGAAGCTTCCCCGACCGTGTACACTTTTTCACCTCCGCAGATGTCGTCAACGCCAAATAATAATTTCCCAGCGCCGAGCAACGGATCCACACCACAGGCCACCTCGGTCGGCCGCCGAGTATCTCTGCGGAGACAAGCGAAGACAAACCACACTGCGGTGAAAACCACTTGAGGAATGAACTTCAGAAGGCTGTAAGATCTCAATTCGAATGCCTCTGGGACGCCGATGTCAGGGGTTCATTCGCTCGCTCGCCCACATTCATCTCACCACATTCATTAATCATCTTAGGCAGATAGAGCGTTGACCTCCTGAGTAGTTGAGCCAGATAATTTTGAACGGACAGCTTATCCTTTTTCTCGCGACTCGATTCGCTACGGAATTCTTTGAAGGCGAGTGGCCAAAACTGCAGCATTAGTCGCGGAGTTGAGGATTTTTTTGAGTTGTCGGGCCATCTTCTGGGAGAAAGTTCCTCGATGCGATATCTTGGTAGGCATCTCAGCACTTGACTTCTCTCTGCTATGAGCCACATACCTAGAAAACTCAACACTCCATGTTGATCCATTCCGACGAGCAGTTATGTTTTTCCTCGTGAGGGTAGTCCGAGTTTTGAGTCGTGTACAGAAAGCCCGAGTCAGAATGAGAACGATTGCACGTGTGCTCGGTAGATGAAGCTGGGTCTTCGCGGAGCGGATCGGTCATTGTTTTTTTGCGAGTCCCGCGACGTACCCCTCCTAAATTGGATGGAAGTGTCCCATATATGCCTGTACATGGAAATGTGAATACTTACATAAGAGAATAAATGTTAAGTTACGGAATTTATGAGGAATGGTAATTTGTCCGGAAAAGGGCTCATATTCGGGCGTGCATGAAGAATCCCTCGGAAATCAAGACAAGAAAATAGAGAAGTGAGCGCGTGCCTCGGCGGAGGCTTATAAGCTCCCAAAGACGCTCGTTTCCTCGTCGTGGAAGCTCGTTTTTATTCCTCGTGAGTATCGAATAAATAATCGTGAAGTTTTCGCACCCTCTAGACGGAGTCTGAAAACCTGTCTTGAGACGACAATTCAATATGTACACAATTGCCTCCGCCCTGCACGAGATTTTCAACTCTCTTGGAAATCTTCGTCGCTGAACATCCAGTTTTCGAAAGCCCGTGGGGTTTGTCTGCGGATAGAAAAATAAGAAGAACGTATCAGCGTGAAATCCTACGCAGGGGCTCGACTTCGCGGGAGCTTCCTTTACCTAACAGCATCCGAGACCGAATCTCGATTGATTTATTTATTTACCGACATGATCGGAAATACCTAAAATCTGCTTTGGAGTCCATTTCGGGCGCTGTCCATCCTTCACGCGATTTCACGAAGCTGACGCCGTACTTGGCGGCGCTGCGGCTGTCTTCCGATCCCGTCGGGATCTCATTGCTGATCATTGTTCGGAAGTCATCGGCGGACTTCTTGAAGTTATTTTTAGCGCCGATCACGAACGGCAAGGGAGCCAGCTGAAGAAGATAATTGTTTGGGTGAGTTTCTTCTCACTTCGCCCTCGGCTTTGACTATCTCAGTCCCTAGAATATTCATCTATCGGGGGAGGAGACTCAAGCCGGCTGTAGGAAGTCCACGGCCCAGAATTGGAAGTTCTGCGTCTTAATCGCCCGGGAACGAATGGTCGAGCTTCGAGCAGTGCCCCTTACGCAAAGCACGCATTGCCGCAACGAGGCCACCACCGTAGTCGCAAGGAGTTAGATGCCGTTGTTTCATTCGGGTACATTCAGTCCGTCGAGAGCAATGGTGCTCTTTCGCTGCCTTTCAAGAATCCGCATTAAGAAAGTATCGGCCGTAGTGCCAGTGTCGAGCTCGGAGTCGATCCTTTTCCCCGTCGAAGGCTATCAGGGCGTCAGAAGCCGCCGCCGCCGAGGAGTCGCGCCGCACGGAATCCGTCTCTCTGGTGTGGTGTGTCACCCATCGGTCAGACACCGGATGCGACTAGCTATCGTGTACACTCCCGCTCACCGAAAATACATATTCTCGCAACCGCATCCTTCTCTCGGGACGAAGGGCATTCGGTGCCCGATTTCGGCTTGGGTGCGCGGAGAAGTCACTCGCACTACTCGGACGCGCGAAATCACTAGGAGCCTCCCGTCCTCCGGCGGCGAACTCATGATTCATGATCAATGAACCGGAGAGCTTGCCGGTGAGTCGTGATCATAGTGAAACCTGTCTGATAAGACCACTGACCAATGGGACCATCTGAGGTAAGCCTGAGTAATGAGACTACACATTGAAGGGACCGATTCGATTCCTTCCGATGTTAGACGACCTCTTCAATGGCACCGCCTGAGTTATCGGACCGCTCTTCTAGTGCACCGCGGCTGGTCCTATCGCATAGGTTTCACTGTATTATGATCAGCGAGAAGCTGTATGGTATGGCGATAGAATCCGATAGAGCCGATATGCAATACGATGGAGTCGATATAGAAATTCGGAATTCTTTCTACCCCTTCCGTGCCCAAGCAAGCCTGACCATTGATTGTACCGAGATTCCTCCTCATTATTGTCAGTCGGCGGATGAATGATTATGATGGAGGGGTGTCGGATCATTGCAGACTCGACGGGGATTCATCCGTGGCTGCTTCCTCACATCAGCAACCCCGTCTCTGCGTCAGAGTCTAGTGGCTCTCGGAAATTCCCGCGGAAGCTCCGCTGGGCGTATACGCGGAAATCCAAGACATCCGCTCGATTCCCCACCGGGTGTCGGTCTAGCCACGTGATAGAGTAAACAGCGGCTGGCGAAATCAATGAGCGCTCGGGGTAGCAGAAATGGGTTTGCGGATTGAGGGCGAGGAGAAGTTGGAATGCTCATCGCAATTCGACGTCTGAGCTCCTCACTTTCCTCTCTGACACATTTGTCTCGCAGAGCCAGGCCCAGAAGGAACATCGGCTCGTTGTCGGCAGTGAAACCGAGGAATCTTGGTGAGCGGCAAGCCTCGGTGGGATCTCTGGTCGGTGTTGCTGCTGCCGTGAATCCGAGCCGCAACTCTCGGAGATGTTTTAGCGCAATTCAAATAACTGAAATTGGATCTCGGTACGCGAAGAAAACTTCTAGCCTGCCCCTCGTCTTGCGTCACCTAAAGCACAGCCAGATAGGATTCATCTGTTCGAATCACAGCACAATGGAGCCGATCGTAGCGGAGTACTTCGCCGATGTGGAGAGACTCAACATCCTCGAGGTGACGAGTGGTGCGCACCCGATCGTCGACGCTGCTTTCGAGAAGCTGCTCGACACTATCTCCTCAGCGCACGATGGACGTCTGAAGGAATTCTCGGAGTGGATCCGCAAGGTTATCGATTACAATGTACCTCAGGGTAAGCGGAACCGACTCGTTGCTGTCATGCTCGCATACCAGAGTTTGGAGAAGGGTGAGATCACGGCGGAGAAACTAGAAAAAGCCGCCGTCCTAGGCTGGTGCGTGGAACTGCTCCAGGCATTTTTCCTGATCTGCGACGATATCATGGACAACAGTGTCACTCGGCGCGGTCGCAAGTGCTGGTACTTGGTCGACGGGGTCAACATGATGGCTATAAACGACGCGATTCTATGCGAGAGTGCCATATACCATCTCCTGAAATCGTATTTCCGATCTCACCCCAACTATATCGACATGATGGAGCTGTTCCACGAAGTGTCTCTACAGACCGCATCTGGACAGTGTCTCGACATGCTCTCCGAGCGAAAAGGAGGAAGCTTCAGCGAAGAAACGTACGACTCGATCGTTGTGTACAAAACGGCGTATTACTCGTTCTCGTTGCCCATACGTCTCGGCATGTACTTGGCGGGCATCTCGGACGAGAAGAGTCACCTCAAAACCGAATCCTTAGCGCTTCGGATCGGACACATTTTCCAAGTGCAGGACGACTACCTGGATTGCTTCGGCGATCCTGAAGTCATCGGCAAGGTTGGCACCGATATCACCGACGCCAAATGTTCCTGGTTGGTGGTGAAAGCACTTCAAGTTGCCACTCCGCCGGAGAAAAGCCGCCTGCTGAGCTTCTACGGGAAGGGAAGTCCTGGGGGACCGGAAGAGGTCGAAGTCAAGAAGATCTACGATCATCTCAGTATGGAGAAAATCTTCCGGGAATTTGAAGAGCAAGCTTTCCAGCAGATCAGGGATGAGATCGAGAAACTCGATCATGCCGATACTCCCTTGAGATCGGATATTTTTAAATTATTGGTTAACAAAATTTATCGCAGAAACAAGTAATACGATGATGCCATAGTGCGAAGGCACGCTTCACACAAACCTCGCTTAAGCCTTCTTAAAATGGAATTTATCTTCACAAGGGGCCTGTGTGCCGTCGTTGATATTTCGAGCGTTTTTTCAACACCAGCGACGATCGAATCGTTAGATAGAAGAACCCTCACACTCATTGTTGTCGTTCTTTCGTGTGGCTATGTCAATAAACTTCCCAGTTGTCTGAGACCACCGAAGTTCGATCTTGTCCCTGTTTGGCATTTTTCATTTGGAGCTCTATCGAGCCGGAGTCTCATTGAAGAACTCTGCCGAAGGCAACACTCTCGCGGATGCTCCCTCCGCTTCCTCCTCAGCCGCTGAACCCGCGCTCCTGACGGAAGAGGAAGTTTTCGAAGGAAAACTGACCTGCTTGTCGAAATGCGACGTGACTCCTCCTTGGTAGTATATATCGACTTTCGGTAGACCGATGGCTTCGTATATGGGTTGGTCAAGCACAGGGAATCCGTAGCTGCACAATGCTAGCCCCGTGATCAGATGCACCGCCGTTAGAATACTGGGGGCCATACCGAGCTGCAAGGCAAAAATCGATTTCAGCTCGACTTCTAATCTGAGGTGTGAATTTCTTCTGTCTCGTCCAGAGTAGAGCCTCTTCAATGAAAAACAATGCACCCAATTTCCCCTGTCCTTATTCATGCCGCTGTCTTCACGAGAAGCCATCGGGAAATGAAAGGATCGACATTCTGTGAAACGAGGTCATCACGCTGTCCATCGCAGGGGTGAAAAGATCCCAAATCTGCGCGACACACGCGGAAATGAAAGAACATACAGGCGGGAATCAGTGAACGAACACATGCGCGTGCGTTGAGATTATTCGGTGGATCTATGATTCCTATGATTGCATTGTGGAACCGCTGCCGCCGTCCCACTAGAGGGTGTATGAGTCGGTTTCGGGTTGACTCCATCCAGTATCAATCGAACTCGCTGGCGACGCGACCCGGGAAACGCGGAACATGTCCGAGGAGCGCATCGTTCTCTCAACGTTGAGGAGAAAAACGAGCTCTCCCGGCCCAGGTCACATAAGCGTGGTTAAGTGATAGAGGCCAACTCTTGCTCTCTTCTGGTCCGTTCAGTCCAGCTTACCGACGGAGCACCGACGAAGGGCTTGGACAGCCAGGTGTGACTTGGGAGAAGACATTAAGTCCCAGCGAAGCGCCACGGCTCGATCGATACGATGCATTCTGAGAAAATACGATCGATTCCGGTACCGTGCCGCTCGGAAAAAGTGCAACTCTCTGACCTCTTTCGAGTGCAAGCTCAAGCAATGCACGCTTCGAGGTAATCTGTAGCTGGCCGTGAACCTAAAAGTGGCCGATAGGAGCCGAAGGTTGACGCTTTCGAGAATAAGGGAGCAGAAGACATCGTGTGATTGCACCCGTTCTGAGGTTATGATGTTCGGAGCGGAGAAACTCCTTCGTCCTCCGGAGTCGGCGGCCGCGGCTCCCCGTGGAAGAATTCAAGAAGGAAAGTTGCCTCTGGACAGGATTTCATGTCTGATCGGTTCTACCTCCGAGAGTCGCAGAGTCGCCTCATGGCCCCCTCTGATTCGGAGCTATGCTTCATCCATGATATTACATTTCCAAACGAAAAAAGGGATCGGGCATCATGGCGCCTTCCGGAGCCATTAGGATCCTTTCTCGCTTTGGGTACGGATTTCGGTATCGAGAAAAAAATCCGAATCGGGAGCTGATGAAGTCTGATGGTAATCCGGGGAACGCTCCTTCCATGGATAGACCAGAAGACCACCCACTTTCAGGGCAGCGATTTCTCTGCGAGGTTCGCAGAAATCGAAAACCCTTTTGCGACGAGCTTCCGACGATACGAAATCGAAGTCCCGGGCTCAAGCCATCAACAAGCATATATCCCTATACACCGCCCGAGAGCTGCTCTCCCTTGTCATGGCTTAATATTGACCGCTTGGCGAACCACTCTTCGACCGGTTGAGTTTTCAGGTGGGGTCAGAGTCCAGGCTCATGCTCTCAGTCGGGGACTGATAGCAAAACGGAGCTACGACTACGATCCGTCGCAATTACAGACCTCCCGAAAAAATGAGACCGCGCCCGCAGCAGCTCGAATTACTGGATATTTTCGAACCTTCAATGCCGAGCGAGAGAATTCCGAATCTAAGGAGGATCCCTAAGGGTGATCGATGTGGTCGAGTCTAGCTGTGCTAAGTGTAGTCCCTAAGAGAGAATTCTGGAACATACCTTGGTGTGCAACGAAGTCGTTTTCGGTTTCACGCGTGCGTTTCTCTCTCAGCGATCAGCGATGGTCTTATAATGGCAATGCTCGTATTGCCTCCTTGCCCGCGACTGTTTCTTCCTCCATCGACCGAGACGTACCGCTGCGTGGACTTCTCCGCTGAGAGAAAACTCTTTCCACGACGACCTCCAGTATTCTGTTGAAAGTATCCGCTTGTGAGTGTGTACGCTGAGCAAACTGAAACAGACCGGTCCGTCTGTTGCATCACAGGCGTCGAGATCGAGTTGATCACACCAACACTATCACCGCGGTCTCGAGCATTGCTTCCGCCACCATCACGATCAGCATCCATCCCTCTTATCTTGGGAAACAATGATCAGGTGTCCGACGCATAGACGAGAGCGGGCGCGCGAGTCTCCAATCAGATCCTGTTCTGCCTCAACGCTCCACTCCGAGGACTTCCGAGGTCGCGAACAACGCTTACGGTGGTTGCGATAACGAGCTCGCAGATCAACAGCCGGAGCTCCGGGAGCGCGGAGCCTTGAAGTGGCAAAACTTCCAAATCACGGGTGAACACTATCTCTATTCGGACACTTTGATCTCTCTGGAAGAGTTGTCGCGACTCATTATCTGTCATCCACTGATTCGCTCGCGCAATCATTGAGCTTTTCGACCTCATTGTTTTGTTCCTGAAAGTTTCCACTCGATGTTTGGAACGATTAAATGAATACCCAGCACGAGTGTTTCCTTGTGCGAGGTGAGTTTGTTGTGACCGTAACGACGGAGAATGCAGTCTTGGAATTTCTCGCAGCTCGCTCACCCTCCCGCCCGCATCTGCTATCTCACCGAGGAGAAGAAGCTCCGGAGCGACTTTGGATCCAATTTTTGTGCCGGGACGAATTTCCGGTGAATGGAGTGAATCTGTGCGCGAAATTTTCGAACTAGCTGTGTACTGGGAGAGATATCGGCGCGCGGAGGATCGTGTCGCCGAGCTGGCTTTTGAACGAGAAATGTTCCAACAGTCTAAATTTCAATGTCGCCGTATGGCCTCGTGTACGCGTTCGATGATAATCGATGACGCTCCCCATGGGTGAGGTTTCATTTCGGAAACGCACGCCCCGATAGTATTTATGAGCAGATCATTTTCTGGAATGACGACGACGACAGGCAATTCTCGTGGTAACATCATCCGCATGCCATCGTTCGATCCCCAGCAGAGCTTCATGGTTCCAGGAACTAGTGACTCCTTTGAGGAATATCTTAGTGAAATTTCTTACCGCCGAAATTTCACGGATTCTGGAGATGCCAAGGCTTATGAAGAGCGCACAACAGGTGGAAAAAACAGGGCGAGTGTTTCTAAGGTCGTCGGAGATCGCTGCGCAGAGCCGCACGCATTCCAGGAAGAGTTTCGCTTCGGAAACGAACTTTGGTTCCACAAGGTAGGCGAATGTGTTGAAACTCCACTTCGTCGGGCTCCATCGTTCACCGATTGCAGATAGCAGTGATGTTGAAATTATCTTCATCAGAGTTCTGCATTTAACGGCATCCCGATTTCGCTGCCAGCGGCTTCGATTATGCAAGGGATTTGTCGAGGACTGAGAGGGTGGTCCTGGCTTTGCCAAGACAGAACACGGTAAATGAAAGAAACATCTCCTTGTCATTCGGGGAGTTCTTACAGCTCGCAATTCGTGTTCTCGCTGAGACGTCGACGCATCACAATAAAGCCATGAAACAAGCATCCGCCTGAGTTGCTTCTCGAAGAAGAACGCGGTCAATTCTCCGTCGATTCCATCCATTTTTTTTATCTATAGAAGAGGGCCATCAAGTTTCAGAAGGAGGATTTTTTTCTCTGCTCGCGTTTCATCTTCTTACCTACGATCGCTTGGGTGTCGGTAAATGTCGGCCGATCATTTTTGTAGCTATTTCCGACCAGATGCTGCCACTGGCCAAGACCGTCGAGCGTTTATTCATGAATTCTTTTTTCCGTGGCCGTCTCCTTCCTGGGCGCGCCGCGAGAACCAAACGACGCCAAATATCACCTCTAATGTGGTGAAGTGATGCTCCACGCATCCCAAGAGCAATCACGCAGTTACTATTAGTACTATTTCCATCGATGGACGCGGAAAATAGTTCTCTCCCTGGGACACCCTGCCCAGCGTCCCTCTCGAGAGCTCAGAGGATTCGGAGCTTTCTTCTCTGGATGATCCGGATGGGAACGATAGAACACAGAACGATTCCGTCTCCTCGAGAGATTCATGACCGATTATACTCCCGATCTGCTACTATGGCGTCATTCCTTAGAAAGAAAAATATCCCGAACTGCTATCATCTTCCTCCAGCGAAGATTCCTGTATTTCACTCACTAGCCTGCGGAAACGGTAACCCAGAGCATTCGAGAATCTTTTCCGCGAACGGTGCGCATGGGGATAGGCGGGCATTCCGAGCTTCGCGAGATTCTAGACCTGGGTCAAAGGTTCTTCCAATTCGCTAGCCCTCCGCCCGAGCCTTTGAAGTTGTTTGCCGCCAGAATCGACGCCAAGGGCGCGGATGGCACGGCTCTGGAGGCTCTGGTTGAAGATCCTGAGCTTGAAGCTCTTCGGTCGAGAGACATCTCAGGGACTTCACTTCTCTGCGCGAAAATGACAGTCGTTGACATTAAGCAAGCGATGAACATCTCCATGATTAGGATCCCCCCGCTGGTCATGTACGGCTTGAAATCTAGAGCCACTACAGATCTACACCATTTACATAGAGTGGAGCGCCGATCTGTGAAATCAGTCATCGGACTGCCGAGGAACGCGCCGTCTACGTTCACTCATGAGATGATCGGCGATTCGCGGAAGACTCGTTCCTCGATCGCATCGGGTTCGACGATCCAGTAAAGAGAAGCTACGCAGTTTGTGACGAAAAGGATCGAAAGTTCGGAGACGCGAGCTTCTCGAAGGGCCCGGCATTCAGAGCGGACAAATGGAAACGGAGCCATCAGACGAACAGTGAAATTACATGTAGCTTGACGTGGCTTGCTTATGACTTGATATGTATGAAAGAGGGATGCTATAACCCGGTCAGTTGTGTATGTAAATTTTGTGGAGAGATGGACACAACTCGATACCATGTGGGAGAATGTGCGAGCCTAGGGCACTCAGCTTCGTCTTTCAGGAGATACTCTGCCCATGCATGTTTATGATCCTTGCAGCTCCTGAATCCATTCACAGAAATTCGGATGTTCCTGGCCTCCAACTAAGTCGCCGCCTTACAATCAGTCTCGCGGATTCAGAGTTTCCAAGAACCATGAGAGGAGCGCGTTCTGGAGTCGTAGAGTTGTGGATGTAGGAAAAACACGAACCAACTCCAATGAGGATTGGCTGCTTGAAAGCAGTAGTTGATTTCTTCCTGTGGAATTCACACAGACGCGGATTGGCCTGCTGGCACCGGTGCTATAGGATCAGCAATCAGCAAATTGTAGCTTGAATGAAATACATTCACTCTCTCGCTCAACTGAATCTTGAAAGTCTCCGGGAAAATTCACGAAACATCCGGCCGGCGGGAATTCGAAGACCGCGCCGCGTCCCGAGAGGACCACTGGGGGTGTATACCTGAAAAATTAAAGGAATTTATTTTTAGAGGGCGCTGGCTCTCTTTCAGGCCTCGCTTAGGAATCTAGGAACGATCCGAACGCGAATCATCTTCGGTCCGAGTCGATACGAGTGCGCTCATTCTTGGCTCGCTTCATTGCGGGATCGCGTCGTTATTAGCTGGCTTCAGCGGTGATTCGCGTCGCTGCGGGCGGCGTATTCTTGCTCAACGTCCTCTGAGTCTGCGTCATTTCCGGACTCGCGTCGTTCTGGGCTTCCCGTTCTTGTGAGATCTCGGCCATTTTGGGTCTACGCTATTCTCGCCGCGCCATTTCAGATCCGAGGCGTTGTGAGTCTCGCGTCATTTTGAGTCTGCGTCATTTTCGCAAAAGTATATCGGACTGGCGTCGATCTGAGCTTCGCGTAGTTTTCGTCGCGGCATTTCAAACTAGATGCTCAAGATCGAGTGCTTCTCTGTTTATGTTTTCCACCGGATCGAAACGCGCGCGGAGCGTAGGGTTTTCTATCAATGTCGCGCGTACCGATGGCGAAAGATATCCACGACCTCAGGAAACGATTCGACGTACTCGCGAGAGCCGTCAGGCAGCGAACATGGTCTGAAAGGACCATGTCTCCACCAGAGTCTCGTGGACGGAGCTGCGATCGGCACTGCTGAGGTGCGCAAAGTCGGATTGCTTGAGGAAATTGTCGGCGCTCCCGAATGGATTGTGGTCTTAGTCTCCCCCTCATATCGAGCTGAATACTCATGAACGCGATTAATTACTCGGCAGTGACGACGTTTGATGTCCATTCTGATGCGGAGAAATTTCATATACAGTAGATACTCGTTATAACGGACCTGGAGATAACGGACATTCCTGGCGGTCCCGAGCAAGTCCCTTTAGTTTACCATGTTGAGAGAGCCGGATAGAGCGGACTCGGATATAAGGGACTTCCGGTTACTGCGGACCCTTTCCGGAGTCCGCATCCTATAGTGCTCCTTATATTTAGTACGGTTACGACGGACCGAGCCTCCGGTACTCGAGTGTGAGAGCCGTTGCAGTCTTTCAGTGCTCGAATCGTTCCCATCATGACAAGGGCACAAGATTCGCGAGTGCACGATCGGCTGGCGCATAATTACAAGCGGAACGCGAAATCTGTTCACAAAGTGAGAGCAGTCGCTTATCGAATCTGCCGATTCTTGTTGGATAAGTTCTCAGCGTGTTCGATAAAGAAAACGGGACGCGCTCAGCATCGATACGAAAATTTAAGTCCTTGATGAGACGCTGCAACGATACCTTTATATACTGAGAGACAATGAGATATCACAGCGAAAACCTTTGGACATTGAGAAATTGATCGAGTATAGAAGCAATCACACCCGACGAGCAAGTATTCGCTCTTTCTTCAACAATAAAGAGTGAGACCATTCTGTACGCTTCGTGAGGCGCGTTCTTGTATTCGAGTCCACGAAACTTACTACGTCCATCATCGGCGGAGAGCGATGATCAAACCCATTGAGAATTCTGAGAGTGAGAGTGCTCGTAGGCTACCCAAAATCCTGGGTCGGTTATAAGGGACTCCGCTTATAACGGACACTTTCGGCTGGTCCCTTGGAGTCCCTACGAGGTTCTACGGTATCTCCCGCCGTCGTAGAAGGCTTCGCTCGAAGCGGAAATCGATTTATGCAGTGATGCTGATACAAGCGTTCGAAAACAGGCATTCCTGGATCTACCTCATTTCCGCACAGATGAAGTCGTTAATTCAGCTAGACGAGGCTAACTTATGGACCGTACCACAGGCTAGGGGAGGCTTCTGGAATTGTCCCTTGAAGGCGCTCGAAGGAAACAGCGATAAGCGCAATCTTCGAAGACAGAAGAACAGCAGCGTTCGCCACGGCAGGGAACGCCTTCGTTCGATTACGACTCAGAAGGCTCCGCCGCCAGGTTCTAGAAGATCAGATCGAGGACACCATGTTGCAGGGTTTCGCGGCCGTGTTCGATCGACTCGATTTTGATCAGTTCGTGGAGTTGATTCGACTCATATCGGATTTCCAGGTATTTCGTCGAAGTGGCTCAAGTATTATATTCTGACGCTTCACTCGGCTCACTCAGCTCACGCTCACTCAATCTGGTCGGATCTATTGCCATGGAACCTTTCTGCCCCAAGTGCGGAGTGTTCACTCGGAACTCTGGTGGCTGAATTAGTCTCAAGTCGAGCAGCCGATCAGGTTCCGCGAGCCATCGCAAAGGACAATATGCGCTCTTATCGTGGAACGTGGTGTGCTTCTCGAAAGGATGAGATCGAGCGTCGGTAGCGAAAAACCCGAGGAAGGCACCCAAATTCAGAAAAAACACTGATTGGGTCAATTTTCGGGGTTCTTGCCTCGGATACACCTCGAAACGAGGAGCCCGAATATGCATCCAGATGTGTTCTTCCCCCTAACACTGGTGCATTTCAAACACATCTACACCTACATATCTACCCCACACATCTACACCAACACATCTACACCTTCACATCTACACCTACACATCTAAACCTACACATCTTCACCTGCACATCTACACCTACACATCTACACTTACACATCTACACCTACACATCTACACCTACACATCCACACCTACACATCTATACCTACACATCTACACCTACACATCTACACCTACACATCTACACCTACACATCTACACCTACACATCTACACCTACACATCTACACATACACATCTACACCTACACATCTACACCTACACATCTACACCTACACATCTACACCTACACTTCTACACCTACACTTCTACACCTACACTTCTACACCCACACTTCTATACCTACACTTCTACACCTACACTCCTGCACATACCCTTTTACACCTACACTTCTACACCTACACGTCCACACCTACACTCCTACACCTACACTTCTACACATACACTTCTACACCTACACTTCTACACCTACACTTCTACACCTACACTTCTAAACCTGCACATCTACTCTTCTACACCTACACTTTTACACCTACACTTCTACACCTAAACTTCTACACCTACACATCTAAACCTGCACATCTACTTTTCTACACCTACACATCTACACGCACTGGCTTCATTCTTCAGGAAAGACATGCCTTGATTGATTTTATCTCCCCTCAGTGGAGACTCCTAGATTTTATTCGATCGCTCCAGTGTGGATAGTGACTTAATCTTGACGAATTACATCGGTTCTCCAATGAACGTCATACACGACACATTCTATATAAGTTCAGGATTGACGCCCCACGGAAGATTTGACACTTTTTTTTCCGGATGCCTCTGGATGGACTCATTCTTCGCGTTGCCTCTAAATAAACGATATCGAGACGCTCATTTGATATGATGTACATATGATTCGGAATGGTCGGATTCGGATGCCTATAAGGAAGGAGGAAGAACGGAGAATCGAGGGGAACGCGCGGGGAGTTCAAAGATCCCTGGGGGCCCGACCAACTTCTCAATCTATCCGTCTCCGATCGGGGAGCTCGGATATTCAATGCAATCGACCTGAACTTTCTGAATAGTATTGAATTACGTATGAAAAAACAACTACGAGCTTGTAGAACCACTGTCTGACAGATTTCATTGTTCCGCGGCTTGAAATATCCGCGAAGCGAGTCGAGGATCTCCAGCTGTTCATGCACTGTGTATGAAGTTGCTCGATTCTCTGGGATCGCCTCCAGAAGCGACGAGAGGGACACTTTTTCCATGCATCGAGCTACGAATGGGGGGATATTCGAGCTCATTTGTGAGTCGAGATTTCCCCGAACGAATTCTGGGGATGTGATTCCTAATGACGGAGTCCGAGCGCGATTCGAATTAGGGATTTGGACGGACCCTGACAAATAAATAATGGGAGAGCGAAGTCGAGTGAAACTTCTGCGAGGGGAGCTACGATTTTCTGGGTCGCCAAAGGATGTGAGGACGCGGGACTGGTAGGCCCGCAAGCCCGGGGGTCGGTTGTCAATAGTTAACGCGGAGAACGAACGGAGCCTGCATTTTGAACCCCGACGCTTTGTGAGAAACGATCTTCTCTAGCTGCCGACGGTGCTGGTGGTTGCGAATAATTCAGCGTATCGAGAAACAAAATCAATGGCCGTTCGACCCGACGGAACGACCCACGGACGAGCGAACGAACTAACGTACAGAGAAAGGTAGTCCCTCTTTTTCGAGCGTGTTGGATCGACGGCTTCCCCAGAGACTCGAGTCGTCGTCGACGAGCTCGCTCCCGAAGTGCTGGTGGCGTAAGGGTTAACTAAGTAGCTACTTGGTGCCTGGAGGATCTATTCGGGCTGTACAGGGGCCGCGACCCAACCAACGGCCAGGAAGCTCATTACACGTATGCTTTATCGTGCGCGTTTCCAGATGCGCAATTCACGTTCCGCAAGACTGACGACGTCGACGACACGTGAGCTCTTCACGCCCACATTAACAGCAACTTTGTAGGAGTCGTCGATTATTATCGTCCCCTCTTTGACGAAACCAACGAGCTTCTCCGTCTCTTCTTCCGGCAATGTCTCTGATTATAATCTTCCGTATAATACAGGGAAAAAGGATTGTACCGAACACGCATGACATTTCTTCCCAGAATTTCCCGAATATTTCTGTCATCCGGGAATCGGCTCTACTCGCCCCTGAGCGGCGTTCACTATAGACACCTCTAACAAAACTTCCGGTAGTCTGCAGGAATGAGATTATGAGGCAACAGGCCTCTGAAAATTCATTGATAAGTGTGCGGAGCTCTGACAAAGATTCTGCCTCCACATATTTTCTTTTCGGTGGATCTGGAGCGATTCTCTGGTACTTCACTGTCGACTACTGATTTGGCAGTGATTGCGGTGAATGGCGAGGAACGTATTGAGAACCTCTCCCAATGGGGATGCCGTGTCCCCTTCCTTGAGATGATTCCTGCGGGGGACATTCGGCGACGCTCCCGAATCGGCTCACAATGTGAGAGGATCGCTCAAGAATCGTTGATGTACAGATTGACCGGTCTCGGACTCATCCTATCGATATTTTGTCTTCGAAACTTTAACCTGGAACGGAATCCGAAACATGACTCATTCGATCGTGGAAGAGCGGTGTGCTCCGACAGCCGACAATTTTCAGGACCATCGGAATGAGACACGTGTGTCAATGGATGCGTAATGGCCTCTCGAGGGAGAACGTACCTCTCCATCGACGCAGAGGGCTTCTAATTCGATCTCGTGCAATACATTCCCCCAAGACACGTGGGACTCGCTCTTGTCGGGATAGAACTTCGCCAGGATATCGAAATTCAGGTGGCCGTGTTCTCCCAACTGAAATCAATGGATCATGGTGATATTCTGTGGAGCAGTATCTGTTCTGAGTCGAGTTCGGGAACGAGTTCCCGGCTGCAGCCCGAAAAACCTCCGGAAATTCTCCATTCTACGGCAAATCAGAACTCACGTCGAGGGTGAAGTGGATTTTGCTCCTCTCTTTGTTTTTCGACCTTTCTCTAGTCTTCGTGTCGAAGTACGCAATGTACGTGATACTCTCGATGTCCCGGGCGGTTTCCGTTGGGGTCTTGACATCGTCCATAATCTCTAATCGTCTGTAAAGGATAGAATATCGTTTCGAGGCTCGGAAATATTATCTCCACCTGCGACAAAAAATCCCACGCACTCGATACAGTTTTTCTCCAGCCCCGAGCCCCAGGTCGGAAACGCGATCGATCCGAGTTTTCACAGAGCTGCCCGAGCGAGTCCGAAATAGACTTCGAGGCATGGAGCCCTGAGATCCGGAATGAGGAACAGAAATTTTTGCGGAGATATGAGAAAACCGACTCCAAGGCAGACTCTTGTGCCTTGTTCCTCCGCGGTACATCTGTATGTATGTACATGAAAGACTGCTTGTTGGATCGACTGTGAGTGAGTTGCGCGATGGCTGACGGGCCTCGTTCGATGAGGATTTGGCTTTTAGATCAGACACGAACCCCTAATTATCGGTGCTTGTCATCTTCCGATGACATGTGCCACATAGGATCAGTTGGAAGCGTCTCACAGAGACTCGACCGATCGCGGTGTTCGAAGCGAGCATGTTCCCATGAGCAAGCCCGAGAACCAGACGAGGTTATTGAGAGATCTCCTTTCCAAGCTTTCCAGGATCAGAAAATATACTCCATCGATTGGAGAGAATCTCTTTTACGCATCTTCGGCGGATGAGGTATACGTTTTATTCGACCGCGTCGCGGACGCGATCCACTTGTCAGAAGTAGAGAAATCGACCGGATGCTCGCGATGATCCACTTGGAATTATTCGAATGAGGACTTAATCAGCGCGGAGCTCTGAAGGAGTTGCGAGGCAAGGCTTTGAATGCTGCCAGAAAATTGAAAGATGAGAGCTCCTTCAAGCATCCGCTGCCGCTCGCTAGCTGTCTACTGCATCGCGAACGCTTTCCGGTTGAAGCGGCCCAATTTGTGATTAAATCAGAAACGCTTGAAAAAACACCCTCCAAATCGCTCATACTTACTCGATGCGGACGATCGGACGGAAATTGAATGAAACCTGATACGAGGCGTTCACGTTCAGCTTTATGGTCGTGTCTATATCGAACCGCGATCCGTCGGACTGCAACAAAAAAAATCATTAAAAATTGCCCTACGATCGCTAAGCCTGGAACTACCAGTAAATAATTAATTGAGAATCGAGAAGCCAACTTCTATTGTTTCGGATCGAATAGGTTCGTTCACGGAACTTCACCGGTCTCTCCGAATGAGCCTCCGAGGGTTTGAATATCTGACGTCAATCGATTGCATACAATTCCCGCCCGCCCGCGCTATTCTGAGCACATGCAATCGCGCCACGGTGACTCCATATCCCCTTTCGAAAGGGGATCAGAATGAAGCACTTCTCGATGTGCTTCGACCTCGATTTGATCAGCTCCGTCTCCCCGCTAGACGTTCGCCAAGAGAAATCCACATCCTCCGTAGTCTCCCAAATCCCGGTCGGTAATCACCTCTAAGCTTGACAAACACGGGAAAACCAAAGAATTGCGTCACCGTACCTTATACGCGACAGGTCTGAAATCGGTTCCGAACTCGAAGTCGTTCACTACTTTCTGTAAGCGCACTTTCATTCTGAATTCTTCATTCCGCCAAGACATCAGAGCGCCCTTCGGTTTCACGGTATCGTGCGCTTCCGAAGCTCTCCGTGGAATTTCTGCAGATTCTCTCCCTTCGGTCTCGCTGTCGCTGGGCGGGTGATGAGTCTGAGTTCCGAAGCTGGTCTCTCCGACTGCGCCGAAGTCTTGGAACATGGTCGACATGTCGAAACTTGGATGGCGTTGCCTGCGTTTGTTGCTATCTTCTTCAACTATATCTGCGGATTCACCGGCCGTCTCCGATTCAGGGTCCCCGATCACTTCGCTGCGGAGGGGGTCTTCCGGCTCCGACAGACGTCGCGCTCACAAGCTTTTCGCCGCACAGCTCAATCCGTCCAATGGACTTCCAACGACGACGGCAACGTACTCGCTTGGACTCGACCGATGTGAGACTTCCCAAGAGCAGCAAGGCGACGCTATCGGCACTACTCTTAGAAATGCTCGGCTCCTGATCGGCGGATTCAAAACGCCTCAACGCTAGGGGCGTAAGGAAACAACTGCCCGCTACCAAGCAGAGAGTTTATGAACTGTGACTACCGCAGCGTCTGTTTTCCACGGAGTAATGCTCACCGAAAGTCCGGCTGATTATAGGGTGCGGAAAAGGACGATAACAGAATCTCAATGGTGACTCAAGGAATTTTAATCCCTCGTCGACTATTGCTCGCTCCGGTTCCATGGCTGGATTTCGGCAGTTTTCGACGCGTGTTAATCCGGCTAGATCGATTGGGATCCGATGGCGCTAACTGACCGCAAGGCCTCCGCATCACAGCGGATGCCGCCATGCAAGGCTTTCATCCCAGATGGGTTAAAGGGGCCGGATGTAAATCGACTCCAGCTGCGGTAAGTACACGGAATACCGATATGATGACAACTTCGGTGAGGCATCCTCAAAAATGACAAAGGGAATGTGCGCGAGATTCCCGAAAAATACGTGAAACACTGGCTAATCGTCTCGTAATCGCGTACTCGGCTCGGGAAGGCTCCCAAAGGCCGTGGTGTCATTTGTGGTGAGAATCGCTCGCCCCGCTCGATCACAACATGAGGGGAGTCCGGAAATATCTTCCTTCGGCCTGAGGGAAGGGGCTGCTTCGAACAGGCGAATCCAGCCCCCGAGAGTTTCTGCTAGAAGATCCCTCATGGAACCGGAAAATTCAGAATTCAACAGTCGAGGCTGCCGCATTGCAAATTTTCGATGGCGTTCCGATCGTCAGAGATTATCGGCTACAACGCGATTATCCGAGGAGCGTCGAAAAGAAGAGCTCTGAACCCGTGATCAGACTGAGTGAACCTGACTCTGGAAAGCTCGCCCAAATCGCATGGATACGGCTCCCGGAGCCGACGTGAAGCGCATACAGCATGGATAACGGAAGGGAAACGTCGAAGCTCTGCATAGAGCAGCACCGAATTCGGAGGCACGCACTACAACATTTTTTCTTGCTCACAAAGCTCAAACGAATCACGATTACGATGCATAATCAGCGAACGAAACGAATGCGAACCAACTCCACAGGCGGATCAGGAACGAGCTTTCATTTCCTTTCGATGCGAGCGAGCGACAGGAAGTGCTCGGATCAGAGCAACTGAAACACTCGATAGGAGTGTGTTGATAGACGATTGCTCGATTCTAGATAGATCGGGATCCCTGAGGAGATGATTAGATCTCGCGGATCCTCGCTCCGTTCCCGGCGAAGTTGAACGCAGAGTCGTTCAAGCCCCCGGGAAGCGCTGGCGAAGATGTTGCCGACACTGTTTACAATCCGGTACCCCTCGCAATATGCCTTGAATGCGAACGAATGTCTCTCTGTCTCTGTATTTGACATTGTCCCCGTAGCTCGGCTCGCGTGTCTGTTCCTCCCGCTCGAGTCGTCTCGTTCGCGATAGAATGCGAATGTTCACTCCGATGAAGACGTCGGCGACGACTTTGGTTTCCCCCCGTAGCCAGAGGCCGCAGAGGTTCCGTCGTGCGGAAGCAATTTCGCGTCACGTCTGCAGTCCTCTTATTTGTTCGTTCTGTCGAAATTAATTCTTGCTTGATTGAAGATGAGCGCGTCCGCGACAAGTCCTCCGATATTACGAACACACGTTCATCCTCCGATTTCCCTCGACCGCCGGTCAAGCGTAAGAGGGGAACAACATCGCCGGGATTCGGGAAGCCCGCCTACAATCGGACAGAGCCGATTTCGGAAACATGGTTCAGACCCTACATCATCAACCCTGGTCCACAGCGTGCACTGCGGAGCGTTAATAATGCCTCGATGAGAGTCGCTCGTCACAATGACGAGTGACAACCCTCCAAGCCGTAACTGGACTCTGTAGGATGAGTGACGAATCACGATAAAGCTTGTCGATATGATACGCGTGAAATACGATCGGTTTTACCGCGGATTCGGAGCCGTCACGCGAGCTCCCGGAGTTCGAACTCCCCTCACATCAGACTCAGGGTTTGCAACTCTGGACTCCGATCCACAGTCGGGTCAAACGATACCAGTATCGCTGTGGTTATGAATTTGATTGAGAATTACCCTCACCCGAAGGACCTCGATCGATGATTTGCAGACGTCCCCCCTCCCTCTTTCCCCATAGTCTGCTTGACCTCTACGAGGTCTGTCTGGTCAGAGACGTCCCTGAGGGAATTAGCGCCCTAGCTGCTCATGAGAGAGTCTTATTTTGCATCCGCTCGACCGACGACTAATGAGGCGTGGATTTCTCCATCCTTTGAGTGTCGATTCTCGGAAAGTGGTGCGATTTTATTACGTTTTCAGCTTCTGCTGGATAAGGAGACTCATCAATTATGTGCATGACCCGGCGTAGCTGCTCCATACTCCGTGGAGCCGCAGATAATTGCGTCATGAGCGGAGTCGACACGTCTTATGACTGGGGGCCGCTTGAACTTTTTGTCAAGGCGTCTCTACATCTATATCTTCAAAAAAACTTAACATGAATTCCGAGAGGGCCTGGTGTCCTCGAAGGTTCCGATTGGACGAACGCTCCGGCCTTCAGAATTATTTTAGAGAGGCACTCCTTCATTTCAACACTGAGGACATGATTGTGGATGATCACCGTCGGTGAATTTCTTCTCTCTGAGCGGTAGTTGTTCGGGAAAGTACTGGAGTATTCCAGTACTTTCCCGCCTCCAAGGGGAATTTCCCTCCCCGTGAGACGGCGAACTTGTTGCCTCGCGATTCTCATGAGCTCCACCTTCGACGGATGGAACACTCGCGTGAGACTGTCACGGTCGTCATGGAGACAGCGTATTCGAGAGCAACACAGCTACAAACGATAGCTCCTGTCGCCGTCCCTCGTGCTAGACAGCTCTACGAACATCCGATCATTTATCAATCTCTCCGTCGCTGCAGAATTTGCGACGTTCGTTGATCGTTCGTCTTGAAGATAGCAGCAGCGAAGCTGTCGGAACAACGAATCGAATTGCGTAGTCCCGAAGATGGGTGCTCTCTGTAGGGCTCGCAGGTTAGACGAGAATCCGAAATCGGGGCTTCGCAGTACTGGCGCAGACCTGAGCGTCTCGGGGAGGCATAGAAACCGGGAAAGAAGCTACAATGGGAACTCATCCGCGACTTGTTCACTGCCCTATCGTATGGATCCGCCATGAGAAGATTCTGGCTGCGGGATTCTGACAAGGGACAGCTCAGCTCGAGAGCGGTCCACACTCGGAACACGCGGAGGGGATCCAGAACGGAACTGTGGAGCCGTTGGAGGAAGAGACAAGCATCCGATTCCAGAGACAGCGGGGAAGCCAATCAGTTTCCTCAGATCTCCCTCGTTCCCAATTGGCGCTACTGTCTCCTAATCTATTCAATGGTGAAGTGCTGCAAATGGATGAGAGCTCGAATGGTTTCATCTGATCCATCCATTTCCCCTGCGACGCCGACGGAGTCTGCGCGAAGAGCCCCGTCGAGGACGAGGAGAACGGCCTCATGCAGGGAATCGCTCTTCTTTCCTTTCTCTCCCCACTCACTACTCTAGGCACTCTCACCCACCTTGAAGAAAACCTCTTTTTTCTGAGGCTTCGACGTATCGTCTTCTGCTCCGGCTCCATTAGCTCCATGGCCCTCGGTGCATTTTTCCAGCATGAGCTGGATCTTGAGTTGTTTTCCCGACATTTTCCCTCGCTGTTGTTGTCGTTGTTGCTTCCACCGATAGTGGTGATAGTGTTATTTCTGTTGTTGTTGTTGTTGCTGCTGCTGCTGCTGCTGCTTCTTCTGTGAGTGTTGGTATTGGTCTCGGTGGGGCTTCAAGCGGCAGGGACCGCTTCGGTTGATTTGATGCTTGAAGTACTCGTATCTCGAGGCCACTTGTCGAGCGATGGATCTCGTTGTCGGGTTTCCTCTTGGCGGGCTAGAGCCGCGCAACTCGCAGTCTCGGCGTTTGAGGGTCGGTGACGACTGCGGTGGCTGCAATAACCGGCTCGCCCGGCGATAGAACGAACGGACTGTACGAGCCGCTTTTCCTCCGAAGCGCCAGCGAATGCGGCAGCGGCGGCGAGCGGCGGATCGTTGGTTCAGTTGAACTGATTGCGGAGGCAGCGTGCTTCTATTTTGCTCCGGGTCGCGCTCTTCCCTCTTCCTTCCGCTCTTACCGCTGCTCAGGGCGCTCAGAGACTCGCTCCTCCTCAGTTTTTTTCTCGCTCGCACCAGAAAACCTTCCTCGGAACTTATTTTTCAACTTGTTTGGCGGTGTTCCACGCAGGGCTTCCTCCTCCTCACCGCGGTGCTGGTGGAGCTGGTGTTGGTGGGCGCCGTAGTCATCGCTTTCCTTCACTCCCTCCTCCGAGTCTTCGTCTGCTTGGGCAGCGCATGCGCACGAGTCGTTTTCCCTGCGACCCCCTCGGAGCTCTCCAACGGAACGTGAGCTAAAACCTCCCGCAGTCGCGAAATCTTTGACCTTTGGCCGAAATTCAGGACCGGGCAGGTCGTGGAGAGAAGCCACCCGAGTCTCATTCGTCCCCATGGCCCGAATGCTCGAGGAAGAGAACGAGCCGTGAGTTATCCAAATGAGCCCTTGGGGGAGCTAACGAAGCTCCTTTAATCAATGCACATTCTGGCTCCTGAAGAGCGCGGCATCGGGCTGATTTCGAGGGCATCTATTATTATTCACGGATTCACGGTACTTCGATCGGCGAAGGGCCACAGTTCTGGGAATACTCCCGTGTGGGAACGAGTGTCGTGGTCGATTGGTTCCAGGCGGCGGGACAACTACAGAGCAGCTTTGTGTCTGCTTGTAGTGGGGACGGGTCCGAATCGCAAGTGAATGTCATGTTTATGGCCACTTTAACAATTAGGCTTCATTTGGACACGATATTACCCCAGTCGGTGTTCCGAGTAGTCAGTCTTCACTTTGCACAACAACAGCACGGAGAATCTCCTGGGAGGCATGCAGCATTCTCCTCTCGACGGCTGCACGAGAGCTACCGAGAAAACAGAGGCCGCTGCATAAGGGGGAACCTGGACCCAGCTGCAGCGGGACGAGGAATGAGCCAGGAGAGAAATCAGCTCCTCGACGGTTGGGCCTTCGCTCAAACGTTTGGACGGATAGGCGAACAGATCGTTTTTGTT